ACCCACCAGGTGTTAACACAGCTACCCACCAGGTGTTAACACAGCTACCCACGACATGGTAATACAGCTACCCACGACATGGTAATACAGCTACCCACCACATGGTAATACAGCTACCCACGACATGGTAATACAGCTACATACACGGCTACCCACCAGGTGTTAAACACAGCTACCCTACCCACAGGTGGTAACACAGCTACCCGCAGGTCATTAGCACAGCTACATGGTAATACAGCTACCCACCAGGTGTTAACACAGCTACCCACCAGGTGTTAATACAGCTACCTGCGACGTGGTGATTATGGTAACACAGCCTACCCGCGACATGGTAATACAGCTACCCACCAGGTGTTAACACAGCTACCCACGACATGGTAATACAGCTACCCGGGTGCGACATGGTAACACAGCTACCCGCGACATGGTAATACAGCTACCCACCGGGTGTTAACACACTACCCGGTGTGCTAACTACCGTGGTAATACAGCTACCCACGACATGGTAATACAGCTACCCACCAGGTGTTAACACAGCTACCCACCAGGTGTTAATACAGCTACCCACGACATGGTAATACAGCTACCCACCACATGGTAACACAGCTACCCACCACATGGTAATACAGCTACCCACGACATGGTAATACAGCTACCCACCACATGGTAACACAGCTACCCACCAGGTGTTAATACAGCTACCCACCAGGTGTTAATAGCACCCACCACGTACGGTACAGCCACCCACCGACATGGTAATACAGCTACCCACCACATGGTAACACAGCTACCCACGACATGGTAATACAGCTACCCACGACATGGTAATACAGCTACCCACCAGGTGTTAACACAGCTACCCACCAGGTGTTAATACAGCTACCCACCACATGGTAACACAGCTACCCACGACATGGTAATACAGCTACCCACGACATGGTAATACAGCTACCCACCACATGGTTACACAGCTACCCACCAGGTGGTAATACAGCTACCCACGACATGGTAACACAGCTACCCACCACATGGTAACACAGCTACCCACCACATGGTAACACAGCTACCCACGACATGGTAATACAATAGCTATTAATCACATTGTAAAACATCTACCCATAAAAGCCTCGTTCGGTCATTTGCAGCAAATAAATAACCCATAATGACAAAGAGAAATGTCTACCGGTAAAATATTACGCCTTTTCAGTCCCGTCCGCAAAGGCTGCTACTGCCCCCGGGCCAGTCTGTGGCTGTTTGTCGTTGACCAGACTAATAATAAACCGGATACTTGGTCCGTTTACTTTGATGATAGTGGGGTGTCCCAGTCAAGAACTGAGTCATTACCTTGGGTTACGTCCCGTTACGTCGACGAGATGTGAGTGGAAGGGGGGGTGGGGGGTGGTTGTTGGCTGCACGGTCACAATTCTGCCCAGATGCTCGGTTTCTGCTGTTTGTGGTCTATGTTACCAATGTTACCACTTCCTGCTTACAGATACCAAATTTCCACAAACAGCTCTGGCACCTCATATAAGACGAAAACACGGAGCGGGAATAACAGAATAAGTCTACTTCAACCTTTCCTTGTTGTTGGTGATGGTTGGCTCGGAGTTGCATAGTGTGGTGGTGGTGGTGGAATTGGGTTTAACAGGAACACCAGAAATAGGCTTCACACATTGTACTCGTGTGGAAAAACTGAACCCAGGTCTTCAATGTAATTAGCGAATGCTTTAACCACTAGGCTACCCCACCGCCCCTCCCAGAAGGAGTGAGTGAGTTAATTTTATGGATCGGTAAAAAGCAAAACGTCATTTGTAAATACCTCTCCACGTAACTGCTGCTTTGTATATGTTGAACAAGATAGTGCTAAACATAATGTACAACTGCACAAATGAAATACATAGTATTTTGAAGTCAGTAGTGACTGTGGACAATTATAATTATACAGTTATCCTTTCTACATAAGTCTAAAATTGGTCAAATCTTTTGCTTTTGACAATAAAATCGTGAACTGATTGAATGATGTCCATGTTTGAGGAACTATGGCCATAAAGTATTGATGTCAGGTCATACCCGTGTAGGTAAAAATACAGTCTTTCTCATATTATCGTATTTGTGGCAGGTAAAGAAAAGGTTAGGTCCCATACTGCCTACAGTTTCAAACTGCCTACATCCCAAACTGCCAACACAAATATTGTAGGCAGCGTGGGAAATGATTTTTTGCCCTGTAGAATAATGGAACAGCCCAATTATCAACGAAGAAGGGTGTGTCGTTTGGAGTAAGGTAGTAGTAGTTATTTGCTTTATTTAATGGCACGCACAATTAAGGTATTTCGGCGACGGGGTAGTACACTAAATTTATGCTTAAAAACATATTTATTAAGTGGGGGCGCGGTGGGCGAGCTGGTTAAAGGGCAGGCTAGTTAAGAAATGGGGGGAACAAAAAACATTTAACCAATCCATGCTTAAAAACATATTTATTAAGTGGGGGCACGGTGGGCGAGCTGGCTAAAGGGCAGGCTAGTGATCCAGCGAGCATGAGCATGAGGTGCCGGAATCGAGCCCACCTGTGACCGGGTGTAAAAACCTTGGAGTCAACTTTGTGTGCAGACTTGTCACAACCCCTAGTGTACAGTACACAACCCTGTGCACTTAAAAGAACCCACGAATCCGTTCGTATATGATGGTGGCCACATGAATACGTGCAAACACCTAGTTGCGGGTATAGCAACGTGCAGTAAACTTGGACAAAGTACTGTGACTATGTGTCCCAGTCCACCCAGCTGTCAATGGGTACATCGTTAGGATGGGAAAGCCGCAATAACTTGGTGCGCCTAGTGGCTGCAAGAGTTGTATGATCCCCAGTGAGTTGAGATTGATAATAAGATGTGTCGTTGAGATTGACATCCAATGATCGAGGGAAAACTACCAGCGCCTTGAGCATGCACTAGTGCGTGGATATGTGCGCTATATAAATATCCAATAATAAATAAATAATAAAAATAAAGGTTAAAAAATGAAGTTGATGAAAAGAGAGAACTGATTTAAAAAGTTAAAAGAACATATTATGCATATTTATAACAATTTTTAAAAATGGTAAAAAGTGGTATTATTGGTTTTTTTGCCAGATTGTTTGGTATAATTTTGTATGAATGAGATATTTAGTGAGTGGTTTAATTAATTTGGGATTTGTAAGAATGTGCTTGAAATAAGAAGAGTACTACTGGTACTATCCTATAATCTCCTGGCAAACTCCAGTATCTTCCCAGCAGAACTCGCAGCCATAGTTCAAACAACAACTGACCAAACAAATAGCTACCATCTGCATTTTTACGGATTCCTTAACCTCAATACAGGCTCTAAAAAATTACTGTAAAACAAAAAGACCATACGATCTAATAAATAACATATACACAGAACAATACTATACCACCAAAACAAAAATAATCAAATACGTCTTATCTGGGTTCCGTTACATATCGGAGTCCATGGCAACGAAATGGGCATCCTTGTCAGTTGTGTGTAATTGTGAAACCAGTAAAAGACTGTAAAACCAGTAAAAGACTGTAAAACTTATCAATTTTTCATGATATATCCATGTCTCCATGTAAAGACGGAATATTCTCAGAATGAATAAACCAACCAACACTTGTCATTTTTTAAACTTCTGTTGGCAGAGTGGAAAGACAGGATAGAACAGGTCAGTTCATTAACCAAGTAACTGGTTAAGTTCATTTTAGCAGGGGTAGAACAGGTCAGATCGGTGTATTCCCATTAACTTCCCTTCCTGATCACTGGACCCTATCATGTTGTTTTAACCTGTAGGCAGTTTGGAACTGTAGGCAGTATGGGAATACACCTAAGAAAATATGAGTTGTATCCTCAAGTTGATACCCACATGTGCAGTCTGGTGTGTGTGTGTGTGTGCGTACCTGCGTGCGTGCGTGTGTGTTAATGCACATTGTACATGTTTCCACAAGTTGATTGTTTCATCATGATCTGAATTATGAAATAAGCCAAAACCACAGCCAGACATCAGGGCTGGTAACTTCAAATGTTACCAGTCCAAAATCTAACCCGTCTCAGGCTGTCGGACGGCCTTATTTCATGCACTGCATAAGACTGTGTTCTACATTTTGATTGTCTGTAAGTTTGATCTACTTCTAAGATTATAATTGTTATTTTCAGAGAGTTAGGTGGTATAAGTTTGTAAAGATATTCAGGTGAAAAACCATTTCTCATTTTGTAAAATGTTATCAATTTGAAGCTCTTCGTTCTTTTAGAGGTTGAAACTTTGTTTCATAATATATTTTGGCATGGCTAGTACCATGAACTGCCTCACAAATAGTTTTAAGGGCAACCAAATGCAAATTCTTCAGTAGTAATGACTGTTCGTTGGTACAGTTGTCCCAGATATGAAAAACAGTAGTCAAAATTAGGTAAGAGAAAAGACACATACATAGTATCAAGCGTATTTCAGGTCAATATGTACTTGGAGCTCCTAAAGCAGTTGATCATTGGACTTACTTTCCTAATGTTGATTTGTATTTTCCATGAGCAATCACTTTTATGCTGCTTTTAGCAATATTCCAGCAATATCACAGTGGGGGACACCAGAAATGGGCTTCACACATTGAAGCCATGTGGGGAATCGAACCCGGGTCTTCGGCGTGATGAGTGAACGCTTTAACCACTAGGCTGTCACATCGCCCCACATAGAAGGAAATGGCAGGAGATTGTAAAGATTTTCCAACATACTGATATACCACTTCCCTAAATTTCGGTTTTGTATCCTCCATACATTTACAACGAGCATATTGTACACAATTCCACATCTCATACATAAATAAAATATACTAAACTCAAATTAACAGAACAATACGTAAGTGTATTTCACAGGACAGTGATTCTTCCTGCCAGTGTTATAACATTTGCACCCTAGTCCATGAGGAGCTCATAAATGTTCTCCATCAAAAATGGGTACCCAAAAAAATAGTATACAATCATAGCAAACACATTTAATATTTCTAATATTTACAAACAAACACTTGCATCACTCATCTTCACAAACATTAGTAACATTGATGAAAATCACATTCACAAACATGAAAATTGTTTGTTCTTCCTAGAGTAAACAAAATCCATATTTTGTAGATATCACCATGATGCACGCGTCACCCCAGACAACTGATTGTAGTCCGCTAACTGTCGCCACACAATACGACTAATTCGCCATTTTCGTTGAATACCACGTGGCCTGGATGTAACAACACAACGATTCCTTATCTTCACAATACTGGAATTTGGTGGCAGGGCTGCAACTTCAGCATCAGCAAGCTCCTGGAAGAATTGACAGAATGGATAGCAGCAGTTGTTTGTATATATTTGCTACAATATTGAGAAGTGTAAATTAAAGTAAATAACTGCTGCTATTGATAAGCATGACTTTAGTTTAAGATTCAAATGTCTGAAGAAGATTAGGTTTGTTTCACTCATACTCATCCTAAAACGCAGGACTATTGAAACGTTCAAAGCCATATACCTAAGTTTCATATGAAAATGTCCATGCACAATGTTCTCGCCAGCTGAGAAATGGTATGTAGGTTTAACCTAACCTAACAAGATTTGTCTTTTCAGACATGTGTTTTAAGGAGTTTTTCTACGAGAAGAAGTATAATAATCTAATGCTACACACATCACGGTAGCTTACCTGAACAGCTGGGACACTGGCCACAAACAATTATACGGATCATAATAAACTGGTACAAAAGAAAATGCCAATAAGGTGATTGTGGTTTCAGTACAACAAATTACTTTGTACAGAGGGAATAGCTGAGGAATTGGGCAAAAAATGAATTAATATGGCAGCCACTTTAATTTGAATCAGATCAGGTACTGATATGCAAAACACTTGCAATTTCATAAACCTCGAGACACACTGCCCTAAGGACAGATAGACAATGAGATAATGCAAGACCACAGTGAGTGAGTTGGTATATTAGAGGTGTCAGAACCTGTAATTCCTTGGGAAGGATGTTGTTCTTCCTGACTGCATTGAGCCGTAGTCTTTCTGGGAAATGTTCCTGTATCATCTGCCTCCGCAGCCCGTCTCTTCTCATCCTCCAGTCCACGTAACGGCCTCGAACCTGACTGTTTGGGCAGCCAGCTGATGTAACACTTGTTGCTTTCAGCAATGTGTTCCCATGTTCCAGGCCCACCTGAGATAGGAACACCCAATGACTCAGGTACTGCAAGATCTACATTGTAGTTAAATTTCCTCCACGCAGGAAGTTAGTATTTAACACCAAAGCATGGAACATTGCTCAACAGGTAGAAAGAACCCAATGGAGCAAAATACATAGAGTCATAGAAATCATTAGTTATCAAGTAAAGGTTGTTGCTGATACCAGTTTGCATTCTGTTATTTCAACACTATTCTGACTATATCATGACCTGTCAGTTTGGTGAACCTTTGAGTACAGGTATATTGCAGAAAATGCTGGAAACATGATCAGATTTAACCAAGACTCACAGATTTCTGGTACAGCTAGTTTCTGTTTATGGTGATCCACTGAGAAAGTTTTCAATACTTGGTTTATCAGATACTACTATTTATTGATAGCTGTATATACAAAAAAAGAAGAAATGTTTTCAGAAGAGGTTGTGTATATTTTCCAATTTCCCAAACATAGTGTATGTTGTTTTGTGATACTGTGTTCCTTTGTCAGCATAATTGCAGATAAGCAGCTTATTTGGTACTGACAATCAGATATCAAACTGAGGCTTTCCGAGATTCCCCCCCGAGTCTGTCAGTCAATACCCTCTTGTTCCTTCTCTATAATTTGAACATATGTTTCTAAGCAGCATTTCAGAAAATGTACTATCAATGAAGGCAGAGATGATGTTAACCTATCTAGATTCTTTCAATGCAAGGTATCAAACATTGAAAGATAAATTATGTTGAAATCAATCATATTTCGACAGGTGATAGAATTTACCTGACTTAATTTGAAACAATCACAACAGATTACAGACTTGTGGTTTCTGTAAAGGTTTTGGGGACAATAACATCTGTTTGGATATTCACTAGTTCTTTTTGTGCAAGTGTTAGACATAACTTATTTCTTTGTTTTATTAATCATACCCAGCTTATGATGACTCTTTGCGAGTTAATGATGTTTTGAATTTTGGGATACGAACAACATACTTCTCATGTACGGTTTGGAAGTAAAATTTATTGAAAGCATGATCATCAAAACAAATGGCGAATATTTCTAAATTATTTTCGCACGCCATGGTTTAAGCGAAACATATAACAAGAGCACGATCCTTGATAAGACAGATGATGGAAAAGTAAAAAGAGGGAACGAGTTGAAGATGCACTTCTAATTTGCATATCTCGATTTGATTGGGCTTCTTGGGCGTCCCGTGTTGTTATGTAACTCCTAGCTTGGGCATTATAAAAAGCGTGCAACGCTGAACACTTTCACAAATACAGAGACGTGTAACGAAATAGGATAATAATAGTTAGACGCTGAATACTTTCCACTTATTAAGAAAGGTAAGTGAAAGACGTTATTTACTTTTCACATGAATATATCCTTTTAAATTGTCCAGGTCTCTGAGCGCATTTGTGCAAGCGACCATATTAATGAATACGATAACAAATACCTTCATGGACCTAGTTAACGTTGAGAACATGCCAGCCAGAAGCGAAGTCATTGCTTGCATTGAAATGTTTCTTGGCCACTGAACTCATGTGGACATGGGCAGCGCCATGTTGGTGTTCCTCTTGGGTGCATTACTCATGACACAGATAATGTATATTGGAACCATGTATTCTAAACTTCTCCAACTTGTGTCTGATGTATCAGAAACATGTTACATTTTTGTATCTCAATACAATACTGTTTATAGGTTTTTAATTGGGGGAGGAAAAAGCGGAATTCCTGAATTCAACTGTGCAATGTATCTTTATACAGAAGTACTCTTACACCAAGTATAATGCATTTTAACCGGATGTTACATATTCTGAGGCAATGCCTCGGCTGTGACGTCAATTGGGGGTACCCCTCTAGGCCGAGTATATATATCACGTGACTTCCTTCCGTCGGTCCTTTTACTTGCGGTGGCATCCATTGAGAGCGAGGTGAGAGACTGATGGAATGTAAATCCTTTTAAAATCTGGTCTTGTTTCTTGTCATCTCGTTTTGTAATAACAGATACTGTTAAAGTGATAACCATACTAGCCAATGGAAACTTTTTGTACTGTTGTATTCTTGTATTAGTGTATATTTCCGAGACGCCGGGTACACTTTCGGCGACTCATTCTACCACGTCGACATGCCGGTACCAAGGCGATACCACTAATTGATACATATGGGCTTTTTGTCTGGCTCAAGCTTAAGTCATAAGGCCTTTCAAAGTATTTTATGGAATTTGTTCAGTCCTCGAATTGTCCAAATCAGAAAATATTGGCTTTTAACAGAACTTAAATGTAGTCTGTTAAAACATAGTTTCTCCATTCAGTGAAATCTTGTGAGTGTTAAATGCGGTAAGGCATTTGATTACGTATTTTTATCAACATGCTCACTAGATCACTGTATGCAATGTTACCATCAATTTTAAGAACCCAGGTTAATTTGGAAATGTACCACCGCCGGTGCAATGTGTATTTGTTTCGCATGAAGACACAGGTTGTATGATAAAAATAAAATCGAGAATACGTTTTTATTTATCGTAATGTCTGTGAACGTGAAGTATTAGGAATATGTGTGCGGTCTGTTTTAGAATCTCGACTTGTTTCATTACTTAGTCGTCCGCCATCTTGGATACCACGTGGTCTCGGCACAGTGACAGTGAATGAAATATATGTAGGAGTGTCCTGTGCGACGCTTTGCCCACGCTTATTACAGATCGAATACAGTTTTGACTTACCGATTTTTCAGCATCCAAGCATTAACGAACCATGGGAAAGGAAAAGATCCACATCAATATTGTGGTCATTGGCCACGTAGATTCTGGCAAGTCTACAACCACTGGCCATCTCATCTACAAGTGCGGTGGTATCGATGAGAGAACTATCATCAAGTTCGAGAAGGAGGCCCAGGAAGTAAGTATCTTTTCCTTGGAGTTGTCAAATCAGTAACAGACTTTTGAAGATGAAATATTTTGATTGTGGCTTTGTGCTAGTTGTCTGATTTCGGCGGTTTTATTTTGTAGATGGGCAAAGGTTCATTCAAATATGCCTGGGTGTTGGACAAACTGAAGGCTGAGCGTGAACGTGGAATCACCATTGACATTGCTCTCTGGAAGTTTGAGACCAACAAATACTACATCACCATCATTGATGCCCCAGGCCATCGTGATTTCATCAAGAACATGATCACAGGAACATCACAGGTGGGTTTTCGAATGACGCATCTCAACATGCATTGTTTTCATATGGATAAGTTAACTCGTAAGTAGTCTTTGATGTAACACATCCCTTGTCTGTGTTTCAGTAAGAAACAAAACGTCAGTATTAAGCTCTAAAGTACAGAGCCTTATTCAGTAATACAGGTACTTAAAATTGCCCCATGTTGAAACGTATGCCAATATTGGAACCATGATATGAACCACAATTCATTCAATTTGCTTTGATTTTAATTGTAATGACTAACATTCTTCAGGCTGACTGTGCTGTTTTGATTGTTGCCTCCGGTGTTGGTGAGTTTGAAGCTGGTATCTCCAAGGAGGGTCAGACCCGAGAACATGCTCTGTTGGCTTACACCCTTGGTGTGAAGCAACTCATCATCGGCGTCAACAAGATGGACAGCACTGCTCCTCCATACTCAGAGGTGAGTAGAATCGTATAACATGGCTTTGAGATCGCAGGGCCCGCTCTGCATGTCTTGTTGCCCAATGTAAAATTGTAAGTTTACTTCACTGGCTGCAGGTTCAATTGAATGAATGCCAAGATACCCATTTGGATGGTATGACTGCAATTTAATAAGATCCTGTAAAACCAAAGATAGGAAGATTTCTCAGTAATGGGGCTTCTAAGTTCTACTATGCAGAGATGCTTACGCTTTGGGCGCAATTATTACGATTTTGGCCATTAAAATACACCATTACATTTAATCTGCGAAAATTACGCTTTTCTACTCAATTTGCGAAAATCAATAAAGTGGAAAAAATTCAAAGAATTATTTTCATAACACCCTGGTTCAGAAACGACCATACACCAATAGGAATCACTTAAATCGTGCTCATTCCAATTAACCTTGTAAGGAATTTAAGTATTTTGTGTCACCTGACCAACAATTTTCAATGTATGGAACTTCATAATGATTGGTCACGTGTATTTCTGTCTAGAATCTTTCCTATTCATGTGAATAAACCTTTTTAAAAGTATTTTTATATAGTTATCACCTTTCACTGAGTGAGTGTTTCAAGTATTACACTTTTTAGGTCCAAATTACACTTACGCTAGTAATTCCTTAGCCAATACGGAATACCTTTATGCCAAACACTGGCCTCATGTATGCCACTGCTGTTGACTTCCAAGGTTGGTGAAATCTGCATTTCTTTTCTTATTTAGGCCCGATTTGATGAAATTGTGAAGGAGGTGTCTGGCTACATTAAGAAGATTGGATACAACCCCAAGGCTGTTGCCTTTGTGCCTATCTCTGGCTTCCATGGTGACAACATGATTGAACCATCAACGAAGATGTCCTGGTTCAAGGGCTGGGCGGTAGAGAGAAAGGATGGCAATGCCGGTGGCAAGACATTGTTCGAGGCTCTGGACAGCATTCTGGCCCCAACAAGACCCACAGACAAGCCTCTTCGTCTCCCCCTGCAGGATGTCTACAAGATTGGCGGTATGTTTTCCAGACTTGACAACGCAACTGAAATAATTACATTTGTGTATTTCATCTTCTGTAGGGAGTGAAAAATAGGAATTTTTTATGCAAAAGCAATGTCTGCACTGTTTAGCCTTTAATGGCATGCATTTTGCTTGATATTTGATACTGCCTGGTTGCAAACTGAGCTTTTGAGTATTGGGTAAAAAATCGTTAAATTTTTATTCATCAAACTGAATGTGAACAGTTCTAAATGTAAATACTTGAATAAATGCTCAGTTGCCTGTTAACATGATACCAATATTCAAGATAATGTAGGTGACAGTTGTAGAAGAAGTCTTTAGTCCCTTGACGTTTTTAAAACTGCAATAAGGAAAGGGCTTTGTTCATTCATTTCATAGTCAACATCCTTGCTCATTCATTGGTACTACTGAATGGTGTAATTAGGCTCAGGTCATAGACAATTTTACCTATTCTGTCCTTTGCAGGTATTGGAACTGTGCCCGTTGGACGAGTTGAAACTGGTATCCTAAAGCCTGGTACGATCGTCACCTTTGCCCCATCTGCACTCACAACTGAGGTATGAAACTGTTGCTTTAGATGTTATTGATAAAGGATCATATTTACATGCTGTTAATTGTAACAGGGTATGAAGAGTTTCCCAGCCTTGGCATAAATTGCAAGATAATTATTTATATACAAAATTTGTCAGATTTCTACTCAGCAATTTTATTAAGTCGATATAATCACAGGATTGAAGATACTGCTTGTAAACAGACGACCATAAATACAGTTGTGATTTCTTAGAGTTTGATTCTATTTGAATTGTTTTGGAAGATGCACTTTGTTCTATTAGTTTCAGTCATAGATAAGTAATGTATGTGTCCATTTGTATTTTGATATTGAACTAGGCTGGAATATAGTGATTTCTTCCCCTTAATGTAGTCAGTCTGTAGTGTTCAGATAAATGTATAAGTTGGGTCACATCATAAATTCTCAACAAGTCGATGCCTGAAAGTTTGCAAATATTTATGTATATTTAAAAAATGAAAATGCAACAACCATCAGATCACAATGCATGCAGAACTTAACTTCATGTTTACTTCAATCAGTATTGTGACGTTTATTCTGAATTGTACCAATTTCAGAAGTAAACTTAGGTGTCCTTTTGCATTCAAGGAACAAAGTGTATTCAGACAAATGTTCAAATTTATAGGACTGAATCTTCCACAATAATCGTTTTGGGTAGTTGCAAGAATTTTGCAGGCGCTAAGTTTTATGTATAAATTGATTTATGAAAATCAAGTTTAAAAGATACAGCAGACATGTTGACATGGAAGTTCATTAATGCATGTCGTCATGCTTTGACTTGCAGCATAAGATCTAAGCGGCAACCAAACATTGTTTAGCAACTCAGTGTATCCTGGCCTCTGCAAGCTAATATATTTTTCAGGTGAAGTCTGTTGAAATGCACCATGAGTCTCTCACTGAGGCTCTTCCCGGAGACAATGTTGGCTTTAATGTGAAGAATGTCTCAGTCAAGGAACTTCGTCGTGGCTTTGTTGCCGGTGACAGCAAGTCTGATGCTCCCAAGGAGTGTGCAAGCTTCTATGCTCAGGTTTGTATTTTTTCATTGAGTTTTACTAAAGTACTGTCGGAAATAGGAAAAAACCCTGTTTTTAGGCTGTTACTCTGTATCCCTAAAATTTACACAATTGCAAATAGCATATGTCGAAATAACCCATATCGGCCTAACTGGGCGTTCAGTGGTATGCGTAATAGGATATCCAGAAAAGCATGTTTACTCTTAAATTGGGCAAAACTTAGAAAAAATATGAATAGCTGCTGAAAACAATAGATCAGACTATAGATGGCAATTAGGTCGCTCAGCCAGGTATGACGATTGACCGTTGACTCACTTGGCATGATGCTGCCCAGACACAAGGGGTCATCTCAAATATATTGCTTTTTCATGTGTATTGAATATGTCTATTATCTAATCTTAGCTAATATCTCTATCCCCAAGCCCGACCCCTAACTACCGTCAGCAACACCCGTCTTGCTTTTACTTTTGAAACAACCCCCTCCTACCTGTTTCTTTTTACAGTGGTAGTGAGATTCAATGGTATCTACATCCTTAATAGTTTCAGTATTAAAGTTATTTTCTACGTTTGCATTACTCATTTCTGCACTAATCTATCCTCAGTAAAATCCTTTTACATTTCCTATCTCTCTCCTCCCACTGAGACTGTAGTTAGACCAAACATAGTTTAACAGATATTTCACTTGCACATATAACTACCTAAATTGTAGATAGAAAAAAAATAAATTCACATTTATATTTCCGACAGTACTTGAGTGCTCGTGGGATAATTGTATGTTTCGTATCTTCGTGGCAGTTTGAAAACATTGGGTTCTATTGGTCTGTCCATTTGACTTAACTAAAGGATGAATAATTGCAGCACTTATTAAACTGGCCATCCATTGATCATACAGTTTGCTATTTGCTATTGGTCAGTTTGAAATGACTGAATAGTATTTCAGAGCTTGAGTAAATAATGGGATAGTTTTAAGCTGGCCAGAATTTTGACTTGATCTGCCCCAATCTTGAGCAAGTATAAGAATTTTTAAATAGGAAATTATTCTCGGAAAAACTTGATAGTTAAACTGACAAACAATGGGTCAGATCAGCTTGTGGGCAATATTAAAGTGCAATGTCTCAAATAATCACACCACAGAAATTATGGAATTTGTATATGACTTTCAACTTGTCATTCTTAGGTTATCATCTTGAACCACCCTGGCGAGATCAAGAATGGTTATTCCCCAGTTTTGGACTGCCACACAGCCCATATTGCTGTGAAATTCAGCGAAATCAAGGAAAAGTGTGATCGTCGTTCTGGCAAGAAGCTTGAGGAAAACCCCAAAAGTGTCAAGTCAGGCGATGCCGCTATGGTCGTCTGTATCCCCAGCAAGCCCATGTGTGTGTGGAGGCTTTCTCTTCCTACCCACCACTGGGACGTTTTGCCGTCCGTGACATGAAGCAGACCGTGGCAGTCGGTGTCATCAAGGAGGTTACCAAAAAGGAGGTTACAGGAAAGACCACCAAGGCCGCACAGAAGAAGAAATGATTAGCTCGGGATAAAGCCCCATGGCTCACCAAGGGCAAAGCAAATTATAACATCGGAACCATCAGTCTGCTTATTGTAATCTGTTCAATGGAAATGCTCGCTCAGCTTGTTTTAATTTCTTGGTCTACATGGTTGCTACAATCTAAATTGCACCGAAAAGAATTTAGAAGGAAAAGAATCCTTGGACATTAAGGACTTAATTTTATTGCCACACTTCAAATGAAAAAAATAAAAAAATGTCAAAGTAACCCCTGCTTAGTTTTCATTCAGAGGATCATTTGTCGGACAATTCCAATGAGATTGGACAGCCTCCATGGTGTAGTGGTAAGAGTGTCCACCCGGAGTGCGGAAGGTCGCGAGTTGGATCCCCGGCTGCGGCATACCAAAAAGACGTTAAAAATGTACTTGTTGGTCCCTGTCTGGCGTTTGGCATTTATGGGTACAGCAAGGGCTGGTCGGCTCGGAGTCAGTCGGAGAATTTGTCAGTCAGGGGGAATTCATGCTTCACTCGGGCATGGTATCTCGGTGAGCTAGCACTATAAAACCAGCTTCAGTCTGGGCTAATACAAGCAGCCGCACATCCCCATAGACAAGCATGCGAGTCGTCATAAGAGTGAAATATTCTCAAGTAAGACGTTAAACCCAATTTCACCAAACCTCCAGTGAGATTGGGTAGTCATCAAATGTAGCTGGATGATGTATTTTATCACTGGATTACCTTTCCCAAATGATATATATTATTGGAACTACTGATTTCACAAGTCTAAATTGTGTAAATTCATATGTGGAATCGGAAATTGGCTTAAATCATGCACTGGCACCATGTAACCATTGCCTTTTGAAATTCTGTGTTCCCTCGCAGGTTTCATACCTTTATAATTATTTAGAACACAAAGTGACACTTGGGTGCTGTACTCAGTGAATGCTCTCCATCATGCAAATTATTTAAAAGTGGTCCGAAGCAATTACGATAGAATGCAAAACCATGTACTTTGGTATGAAACCGCCCAATGCACAGTCAACAGCAGTTAATGAAGTTGAATTTGGTCTGCAGGTTTTTGTTCTCAAGTCCAATGCAGGTTGCTGAGAACAGACCATGGCTTAATGCAAACTTGTCTGTGATATTGTATACTACTCGCTTTGCTAAGGGTCACAAAAATTCCCAACTTGGCTTAAACACAATTTCAAATTATAAATCTATATCTATTTAAAACTAGATAAATAATACTATGGTAACCCCTCTTTAGGCAAACAGCCACTTTAATCAAACCTTATGCTCTTGATACATGAGAAACAATAAAAATGGTTTTCGTGGCACCAATCAACCTTTTTGCAAATCAAGGAACGAGTCATTGACAAGTACACTACACCTGTCAATAGCAGGTATGGGACCTACAAGATGCAGTGACATACTGAAGCCAAGGCTTTTCTCTAAGCACATACAACATAATGGACATTACCCCAAATATCCCAAGTGCTAGAAGGTTAATAGTTATTTGACTTGTCCCACTGGGTACCCATTTTCTACTTGGTGATAAAAGTTTAAATTTAATATTTAATAATATAGAGATCCGTGTCGTGTGATTATTTCAGAAACTTATATGTACTACTGTATGCTCGGTATTCTCATCACTTTCTTTTTATTTATTTATATATATATCAGTTCACCCAGCAGAATTCGATCATATATATATACGAATTCAAAAAATATATATATATATGATCGAATTCAAAAAAAATTCTGCTGGGTGAACTGACTCCCTTGCCTAAGGTGAGACCACATGTCATGTGTGCCTTGTGCAGCAGGACTGAAGCACCAGAAACTCAGGAGCCAAGCTGCCAAACACGTGGCCCATACAAGTACTTGCTGTGACCTGATTTGTGTCCTCTATGCTAAAAGACAACACAACACCTTAAACCACTGTTTCTCAGATGAGCAAAACTTTGTCCTGCTCCTTGCTTTGGTTTCCCGCATGATATTCAGCTAATGACTTATGTGAAACAGTTTACAGTAAGTTAGAGTGGAATAAAATTTAACAGACAGGATCAAAACATGTGAACTCTTCCACCTCAAGGCCATGCTCCCAAGTAAGTAGCCCATACATATGAAATCGACCTGTATATACTGGAGACGTGAAGATCCGGGGTAAGAACTGGCAACTGATGCTTATCATAAGGCGACCAATAGGAATGGGCGACTTAATTGACACATATCGTATCCTAACTGCGTAGAACAATGATCATGCAGTTGATCGCTGGATTGTCTGGTCCAGACACGATTGTTTACAGTGAGCGAGTTTGGTTTTACACCACTTTTAGCAATATTCCAGCAATATCACGGCGTGGGGACACCAGAAATGCGATTGTTTACAGACTGCCACCATATAGCTAGAATATTGCTGACTGCGGTATCTATCAATCAACAGGAGTCTGCAGCAAACAATCCAGGTTTAATATTGACCAACAATTCACTCTCTAACATGGGATTCTAGACCTGTCATGACCAGAAATCTAAACATATTGTGAGATCATATGACAAAGGTGTCGCCTATAAATAACCACGAAGCTATATTGTTGCTGATGGCAGCTTGGGCATAAAAACAAAAATACAAAACTGAGACAGGAAATTTATTCTTGGAAGGGTCACAAACAATATACCCAGGTACATCAGAAAGAAAATCATGTTTTCATCAGACAATATTCATTGTTATTTATGCAAGAAAATTATGGATTTCTATCCACTTTATTGAACAAAAATATGTTACACATACAAACATGGTCTTCCTTCACACTTATCACATGTGCCTTTAGGCTCATTCATACCCACCGACTCCCAACAGTAAACATGGATCCAGATATCATTAAACTGACATCAGAGAACAAACACCATTTCCAGGTATAGTAAATATATTGTAGTAGATCAGTATATGTTATTCACAATCTACACAAGTGTGTCTGGTGACACTGCTCACTGTACGTAGCACCCAGGCAGTGTCGGAGCCTGTGAGCCACCCCCCATCAGATCAACTAACAGACTTTCAAAACCGGTTCTACAGACTGAGACTCAAATTCTTTAATTACTGCTATAAACCAGTATACTGGTAATGCTGTGTAGTCCTACCGAGTGCCCTGTGTCACAACTGAAAGAAATGTACATTCCTATTGCTGGTACAAAATATTTCATATAGAAAGTGATTTCTATTCATTTTATGACCCATGTCTTACTAACTGTAAGATCCACATGTGTAGAAGTTTTCTATGTTTCTGTTTTACATCTACTTATACCCAATGTTCTGGTTCTAAATATCAACATACTTCACAGACATAGATATGGTTACATACAGTCCACAATTCTGTCTTGCTTACCTCCTGTTACAACAGAAGGAATCAAACTGATTATAAAAAAACATTTTACCGATTATATTTCTGTGCTGTCCGTTTGCCCTGTGTCAGTACTGTGGCACTGTCCCTAGTGTCAGACAATCACAAGGTAGAGGGAACAACCTGCACATGACAAACTTTCAACTTGCACAACTTCATAAAACTATCAAATCCTGTGCAAAATCTGTTCCTGCCCCTCCATTCTCCTCATCTGTGGTCAGCAGGGATAGACCCTGGCCGCTCGTCCCATTAGTCTGACACTGGTAACAATATACATGGAGGACAAGTACAGGACTGTTAAGGGGGAAATAAGCGAGAGCTAGCTGGAGGTGACCAATGGTGTCTACTCTGACATCTCCTGGTCCTGCTACTCCGGTGGTCTTCCTGTCATGAATAGCATGGTGTGAAGATCATGTCATGACGCTGTTCTATGACAGCAGCTGGGCCACCTCTAAACATGGCAACCCAACCTCACTTCTTCTCCGACATCCAGGCCATGTACGTATTCCATCCCAGGGCAATAAAGTTGACAAACAGAACTCTGAAAAAAAATGCATATTCTATAAAAAACCAAAACAAAACACAAGTGTTATATTATGGAATAGCTGTAGTACACAAGTTTTGTATAAGAGAAAACCTGTAGTACACAAGAGCTGTATAACAGAAAACCTGTAGTACACAAGTTTTGTATAAGAGAAAACCTGTAGTACACAAGTGTTGTATAACACAATTGCTTTGGTACACAAGTGCTGTATAACAATAGCTGTAGTACACAAGTGTTGTATAACAGAACGGCTGTAGTACACAAGTGTTGTATAACAGAACGGCTGTAGTACACAAGAGCTGTATAACAGAAAACCTGTAGTACACAAGTGTTGTATAACAGAATTGCTTTAGTACACAAGTGCTGTATAACAATAGCTGTAGTACACATAACAGAATAGTGTGTATAACCCAATTAGCTTATAGTACACACAAGTGCTGTATAACAATAGCTGTAGTACACAAGTGTTGTATAACAGAATAGCTGTAGTACACAAGTGTTGTATAACAGAACGGCTGTAGTACACAAGAGCTGTATAACAGAAAACCTGTAGTACACAAGTTTTGTATAACAGAAAACCTGTAGTACACAAGTGTTGTATAACACAATGCTGCAATTGTAGTACAAGTGTTGTATAACAAAGTGTTGTATAACAGAATGGCTGTAGTACACAAGTGTTGTATAACAGAATGGCTGTAGTACACAAGTGTTGTATAACAGAACGGCTGTAGTACACAAGTGCTGTATAACAGAATTGCTGTAGTACACAAGTGTTGTATAACAATGGCTGTAGTACACAAGTGTTGTATAACAGAATAGCTGTAGTACACATTTGCTGTATACCAGAAAGGCTGTAGTACACAAGTGTTGTATAACAATAGCTGTAGTACACAAGTGTTGTATAACAGAGTGGCTGTAGTACACAAGTGTTGTATAACAGAATGGCTGTAGTACACAAGTGTTGTATAACACAATAGCTTCATACGACCCATGAGCTGTAGTACACAAGTGTTTTGTATAACAATAGCTGTAGTACACAAGTGTTGTATAACAATAGCTGTAGTACACAAGTGTTGTATAACAGAATAGCTGTAGTACACAAGTGTTGTATAACAGAATGGCTGTAGTACACAAGTGTTGTATAACAGAATGGCTGTAGTACACAAGTGTTGTATAACAGAGTGCTGTAGTACACAAGTGTTGTATAACAGAATGGCTGTAGTACACAAGTGCTGTATAACAGAAAACTGTAGTACACAAGTGCTGCATAACAAACGGCTGTAGTACTGTAGTACACAAGTATAACAGAATGGCTTAGTAACATTAGCGGCTAGTAGTACACTGGGTGTGTTGTATAACAGAATAGCTGTAGTACACAAGTGTTGTATAACAGAGCGGCTGTAGTACACAAGTGTTGTATAACAGAGCGGCTGTAGTACACAAGTGTTGTATAACAATAGCTGTAGTACACAAGTGTTGTATAACAGAATGGCTGTAGTACACAAGTGTTGTATAACAATAGCTGTAGTACACAAGTGTTGTATAACAGAACAAGCTGGGCTGTAGTACACAAGTGTTGTATAACAGAATAGCTGTAGTACACAAGTGTTGTATAACAGGTGGCTGCAGTGTAGTGTTGTATAACAGAATAGCTGTAGTACACAAGTGTTGTATAACCAGTACACGGCTGTAGTACACAAGTGTTGTATAACAATAGCTGTAGTACACAAGTGTTGTATAACAAATGGGCTTCATACAGTACACAAGTGTTGTATAACAAGACGTCTGCAAAGCCTTGCTGTAGTACACAAGTGTTGTATAACAGAATAGCTGTAGTACACAAGTGTTGTATAACAGAATGGCTGTAGTACACAAGTGTTGTATAACAGACTATTCCAGCTGTAGTACACAAGTGTTGTATAACCATGTAGTAATCGAAGTGTGTCTACCAAGTGCTGTAGTAACACAAGCTGTAGTACACAAGTGTTGTATAACAGAGCGGCTGTAGTACACAAGTGTTGTATAACAATAGCTGTAGTACACAAGTGTTGTATAACAGAATGGCTGTAGTACACAAGTGTTGTATAACAGAGCGGCTGTAGTACACAAGTGTTGTATAACAAGAGCTGGCTGTAGTACACAAGTGTTGTATAACAGAATAGCTGTAGTACACAAGTGTTGTATAACATAGCTGTAGTACACAAGTGTTGTATAACAATAGCTGTAGTACACAAGTGTTGTATAACAGGCTGTAGTACACAAGTGTTGTATAACAATAGCTGTAGTACACAAGTGTTGTATAACAGAGTGGCTGTAGTACACAAGTGTTGTATAACAGAGTGGCTGTAGTACACAAGAGCTATATAATGGACCAGCTGTAGTACACGAGAGCTGTATAATAGTGAGTGAGTTGGGTTTTACGCAGCTTTTAGCACTATTCCAGCAATATCATGGCAGGGGACACCAGAAATGGGCTTCACACATTTTACCCATGTGGGGAATTGAACGTGTGTCTTCCGTGTGACGAGCGAACGCTTTAACCACTAGGCTGTCCCACCTCCCCAGTGCCCAAGTGTTGTATAACAGAGTGGCTGTAGTGCCCAAGTGTTGTATAACAGAATGGCTGTAGTACACGAGAATGACAGTTAGGGTTGCTAATTGATATAGATCACAGAGATCGATAGTCGTTAACTGAATATGTATCGACTTTTATATATATATATATATATATATATATATATATATATATATATATATATATATATATATATAGGAGAATTAACATTGAGCAAAACCTGGATTGCTAACAAAAAAGCCTCCATAGTTTAGAAGCAGCCCATGAACAAAATCTGAATACTGTGAGTGAATTAAAACTGTTTTCATCACAATGGTTTTTGCATAATATTATCGAGGACACAATTTTCAGATCGATATTCATTATTGTGCCAGAACATGTTACGAGCTGATTTACAAGTTGAAACTAGAACGTTAACTGAGAATCAGTACATGAAAGAACCAGGTGTGAAGCCAACAAACAACACAGAAATGTGATGTCATTAAGAAATGTGTTCTAAAATTAACTAAGTTCACAAATCACTACAAAGGTATCACAAAACAGAGAGCAGTACAAATTCAAAGTATTTTAGTATAAAAACAGTGATTATATCAACAGACAGGTGGTAGCAATATTCACCTCCCAGCAACGGTGATCCAACTTGACACCAGGCCTGGCAGGGTATAAATATTGTCACAAAATGCTGGTCATCTTGTGGCTTGAGATGTAATGGTATAGTCTGTTTGCAGTAAAAACGTACCAACGAATTTCACTTTAAACCAAACAGTAAATCAAATAAAGTGAAATTAATATTGCGAATCCTCATAATTTTACCTTGCCAATTGAACATTTGAATCTCAGAATTTTATTCATCTTAGGATAAAAGTTGTTTAACAAACGATCATAGATTCAAATCGCTATTATTGGTTTATATTATAAGGTGGTATGCGTAGTAGTTGGAACACTGAAACAAATGTGCATGCGGTACGTGATGAGCGTTAACTTAGACCAACCCTACTTGTTCTTTGTGTTTCATTTAATGTGCACACACCCTTGTAATACAAACCAATAATATATTTACAATAAATATAACATATATAACAATGATATTTAAATGTTCAGTTGGCAAGGTAAACTTATGCGGATTTGCAATCTTAATTTCACTTTATTCGATTTACTTTCTTGTTTAAAGTGAAATTCATCGGTACGTTTTCACTGCAAACAGACTATAGATGTGAAGTAAAAGTTACCTCCCCTTATATATCAAAGAAAAACCTACGTGATCTTTCGAGGCTATTCATAGCATCACTGGTGATGCCTATAGGGTTGTAGCACACTTCAGTACTCTGTCTAAATATAGCAATGCCCCTAACGAATAACATACCTACCTTCAAGGGGGATGCGGTAGATGATGAAGAACATACCTACCTTCAAGGGGGATGCAGTAGATGCTAAAGAACATATCTACCTTCAAGGGGGATGCGGTAGATGATAAAGAACATACCTACCTTCAAGGGGGATGCGGTAGATGATAAAGAACATACCTACCTTCAAGGGGATGCGGTAGATGATAAAGAACATACCTACCTTCAAGGGGGATGCAGTAGATACTAAAGAACATACCTACCTTCAAGGGGGATGCGGTAGATGATAAAGAACATACCTACCTTCAAGGGGGATGCGGAAGATGATAAAGAACATACCTACCTTCAAGGGGGATGCAGTAGATGCTAAAGAACATACCTACCTTCAAGGGGGATGCGGTAGATGATAAAGAACATACCTACCTTCAAGGGGGATGCGGTAGATGATAAAGAACATACCTACCTTCAAGGGGGATGCGGTAGATACTAAAGAACATACCTACCTTCAAGGGGGATGCGGTAGATGATAAAGAACATACCTACCTTCAAGGGGGATGCGGTAGATGATAAAGAACATACCTACCTTCAAGGGGGATGCAGTAGATGATAAAGAACATACCTACCTTCAAGGGGGATGCAGTAGATGCTAAAGAACATACCTACCTTCAAGGGGGATGCGGTAGATGATAAAGAACATACCTACCTTCAAGGGGGATGCGGTAGATGATAAAGAACATACCTACCTTCAAGGGGATGCAGTAGATACTAAAGAACATACCTACCTTCTAGGGGATGCGGTAGATGATAAAGAACATACCTACCTTCAAGGGGATGCGGTAGATGATAAAGAACATACCTACCTTCAAGGGGGATGCAGTAGATGCTAAAGAACATACCTACCTTCAAGGGGATGCGGTAGATGCTAAAGAACATACCTACCTTCAAGGGGATGCGGTAGATGATAAAGAACATACCTACCTTCAAGGGGATGCGGTAGATACTAAAGAACATACCTACCAGGGGATGCAGTAGATCTAAAGAACATACCTACCTTCAAGGGGATGCAGTAGATGATAAAGAACATACCTACCTTCAAGGGGATGCGGAGATGTAGATACCTTAAAGAACATACCTACCTTCAAGGGGATGCGGTAGATGATAAAGAACATACCTACCTTCAAGGGGGATGCGGTAGATACTAAAGAACATACCTACCTTCAAAATGAAGTACATATCTACCTTCAAGGGGGATGCGGTAGATGATAAAGAACATACCTACCTTCAAGGGGGATGCAGTAGATGATAGAGAACATATCTACCTTCAAGGGGGATGCGGTAGATGATGAAGAACATACCTACCTTCAAGGGGGATGCAGTAGATGATAGAGAACATATCTACCTTCAAGGGGGATGCGGTAGATGATAAAGAACATACCTGTGTTGAAGTGGGACAAGGAAAAAGTTGATGAGCTGTGCAGCAGGCCACACCTACAATTACAAACCTGAAATTCAGAGCTTGTGTGCAGTTTCTGTGTGAAGACTGTGTACAGAGTCTGTGTGTGGAGACCATGTGTTTAGAGGAGTCTGTGTGTGTAGACTGTGTACGTAGTCTGTGTGTGGAGGCTGTGTATGGTAGCTGTGTGAGGAGTTTGTGTATGGTAACTGTGTGTGGAGGCTGTGTATGATAACTGTGTGTGGAGTTTGTGTATGATAACTGTGTGTGGAGTTTGTGTATAGTAACTGTGTGTGGAGTTTGTGTATGATAACTGTGTGTGGAGTTGGTGTATGATAACTGTGTGTGGAGGCTGTGTATGGTAACTGTGTGTGGAGTTTGTGTAAGGTAACTGTGCGTGGAGGCTGTGTATGGTAACTGTGTGTGGAGGCTGTGTATGGTAACTATGTGTGGAGGCTGTGTATGGTAACTGTGTGTGGAGGCTGTGTATGGTAACTGTGTGTGGAGGCTGTGTATGGTAAGCTGTGTGGGTTATTGGTGACTAGAAATGTGAGGTAGGCTATGTGTAACTATGTGTGGAGTTTGTGTATGGTAACTGTGTGTGGAGGCATGCCTCAAACTATGTTTACACCACCCAGTGCTGTAGTTTCCCTCCAGTATGTTACACCACCACCCAGTTTCCCTCCAGTATGTTTACACCACCCTGTAGTTTCCCTCCAGTATGTTTACACCACCCAGTGCTGTAGTTTCCCTCCAGTATGTTTACACCACCCAGTGCTGTAGTTTCCCTCCAGTATGTTTACACCACCCAGTGCTGTAGTTTCCCTCCAGTATGTTTACACCACCCCTCCAGTATGTTTACACCACCCAGTGCTGTCCCTCCAGTTTCCCTCCAGTATGTTTACACCACCCAGTGCTGTAGTTTCCCTCCAGTAGTTTGTTTACACCACCCAGTGCTGTAGTTTCCCTCCAGTATGTTTACACCACCCAGTGCTGTAGTTTCCCTCCAGTATGTTTACACCACCCAGTGCTGTAGTTTCCTACCAGTATGTTTACACCACCCAGTGCTGTAGTTTCCCTCCAGTATGTTTACACCACCCAGTGCTGTAGTTTCCTACCAGTATGTTTACACCACCCAGTGCTGTAGTTTCCTACCAGTATGTTTACACCACCCAGTGCTGTAGTTTCCCTCCAGTATGTTTACACCACCCAGTGCTGTAGTTTCCTACCAGTATGTTTACACCACCCAGTGCTGTAGTTTCCCTCCCAGTATGTTTACACCACCCAGTGCTGTAGTTTCCCTCCAGTATGTTTACACACCCAGTGCTGTAGTTTCCCTCCAGTATGTTTACCACCACCCAGTGTTTACTGTGCTGTAGTTTCCTACCAGTATGTTTACACCACCCAGTGCTGTAGTTTCCCTCCAGTATGTTTACACCACCCAGTGCTGTAGTTTCCCTCCAGTATGTTTACACCACCCAGTGCTGTAGTTTCCCTCCAGTATGTTTACACCACCCAGTGCTGTGCTGTATGTTTACACCACCCAGTGCTATGTTTTCCAGTATGTTTACACCACCCAGTGCTGTATGTTTCCCTCCAGTGCTGTAGTTTCCCTCCAGTATGTTTACACCACCCAGTGCTGTAGTTTCCCTCCAGTATGTTTACACCACCCAGTGCTGTAGTTTCCTACCAGTATGTTTACACCACCCAGTGCTGTAGTTTCCCTCCAGTATGTTTACACCACCCAGTGCTGTAGTTTCCCTCCAGTATGTTTTACACCACATGTTTGCAGTGCTGTAGTTTCCCTCCAGTAGTGCTGTGTATGTTTCCCTCCAGTATGTTTACACCACCCAGTGCTGTAGTTTCCCTCCAGTATGTTTACACCACCCAGTGCTGTAGTTTCCCTCCAGTATGTTTACACCACCCAGTGCTGTATGTTACACCACCCCCTCCAGTATGTTTACACCACCCAGTGCTGTAGTTTCCCTCCAGTATGTTTACACCACCCAGTGCTGTAGTTTCCCTCCAGTATGTTTACACCATGTTTACACCCCAGTGCTGTAGTTTCCCTCCAGTATGTTTGTTTACACCACCCAGTGCTGTAGTTTCCCTCCAGTATGTTTACACCACCCAGTGCTGTAGTTTCCCTCCAGTATGTTTACACCACCCAGTGCTGTAGTTTCCCTCCAGTATGTTTACACCACCCAGTGCTGTAGTTTCCCTCCAGTATGTTTACACCACCCAGTGCTGTAGTTTCCCTCCAGTATGTTTACACCACCCAGTGCTGTAGTTTTCCAGTATGTTTACACCACCCAGTGCTGTAGTTTCCCTCCAGTATGTTTACACCACCCAGTGCTGTAGTTTCCCTCCAGTATGTTTACACCACCCAGTGCTGTAGTTTCCCTCCAGTATGTTTACACCACACCAGTGCTGTATGTTTACACCACCCCCTCCAGTATGTTTACACCACCCAGTGCTGTAGTTTCCTACCAGTATGTTTACACCACCCAGTGCTGTAGTTTCCCTCCAGTATGTTTACACCACCCAGTGCTGTAGTTTCCTACCAGTATGTTTACACCACCCAGTGCTGTAGTTTCCCTCCAGTATGTTTACACCACCCAGTGCTGTAGTTTCCTACCAGTATGTTTACACCACCCAGTGCTGTAGTTTCCCTCCAGTATGTTTACACCACCCAGTGCTGTAGTTTCCCTCCAGTATGTTTACACCACCCAGTGCTGTAGTTTCCCTCCAGTATGTTTACACCACCCAGTGCTGTAGTTTCCCTCCAGTATGTTTACACCACCCAGTGCTGTAGTTTCCCTCCATGTTTACACCACCCAGTATGTTTACACCACCCAGTGCTGTAGTTTCCTACCAGTATGTTTACACCACCCAGTGCTGTAGTTTCCCTCCAGTATGTTTACACCACCCAGTGCTGTAGTTTCCCTCCAGTATGTTTACACCACCCAGTGCTGTAGTTTCCCTCCAGTATGTTTACACCACCCAGTGCTGTAGTTTCCCTCCAGTATGTTTACACCACCCAGTGCTGTAGTTTCCCTCCAGTATGTTTACACCACCCAGTGCTGTAGTTTCCCTCCAGTATGTTTACACCACCCAGTGCTGTAGTTTCCCTCCAGTATGTTTACACCACCCAGTGCTGTAGTTTCCCTCCAGTATGTTTACACCACCCAGTGCTGTAGTTTCCCTCCAGTATGTTTACACCACCCAGTGCTGTATGTTTTCCCTCCAGTATGTTTTACCACCACCCAGTACTGTAGTTTCCTCCAGTATGTTTACACCACCCAGTGCTGTAGTTTCCTCCTCCAGTATGTTTACACCACCCAGTGCAGTCCCTCCAGTATGTTTACACCACCCAGTGCTGTAGTTTCCTACAGTATGTTTACACCACCCAGTGCTGTAGTTTCCCTCCAGTATGTTTACACCACCCAGTGCTGTAGTTTCCCTCCAGTATGTTTACACCACCCAGTGCTGTAGTTTCCTACCAGTATGTTTACACCACCCAGTGCTGTAGTTTCCCTCCAGTATGTTTACACCACCCAGTGCTGTAGTTTCCCTCCAGTATGTTTAGTTTCCTCCAGTATGTTTACACCACCCAGTGCTGTAGTATGTTTTCCTCCACTGTATGTTTACACCACCCAGTGCTGTAGTTTTCCTCCAGTATGTTTACACCACCCAGTGCTGTAGTATGTTTACACCACCCCTGTAGTTTCCCTCCAGTATGTTTACACCACCCAGTGCTGTAGTTTCCCTCCAGTATGTTTACACCACCCAGTTTACAGTATGTTTACCACCCAGTTTCCTCCAGTATGTTTACACCACCCAGTGCTGTAGTTTCCCTCCAGTATGTTTACACCACCCACAGTACCACCCAGTGCTGTAGTTTCCTCCAGTATGTTTTTACACCACCCAGTGTTTACACCACCCAGTGCTGTAGTTTCCCTCCAGTATGTTTACACCACCCAGTGCTGTAGTTTTTCCCTACCAGTATGTAGATTTTCTTACCTTGTAATTTGTCACCAGGATTGTAATGTAATCCTGAAAGCAGAAACATGAGGAATCTACAGACAGAGTCAGGACAATGCTGTTTGTGGTCAATAATGCTGCTCAAGTCATCCCTTGCTGCTCCATGAAAAGTGCCGTCTGGCCATGCCGGAATCACTAACTTCGAAATGGCAGTGCTAAAGTAAGTCCACACATAACGTAAGCTGTGTGCTCCTTGGGTATCAAATGAGAAAACTCTTATGATGTCTGCGCTATAGAAGACATTGTGGACATTAGTGTGCTTCAGTTTTGTGAGAATTCATATGACTTTCAATTGTTTATTTATGTCCAAAATGCTTGTTTAGATTCCAAACCAGCGGATTTGGGAGATAGCCCAAACCAGTATGTGTGGATACCAACTACGTGCTCACACCAAAACCATTTATACCCATGCCTCAATCACAAACATGCATTTCACTCCATTGAGTAGTTACATTACAACTTATATTCATGGAAACACTTGAGACTTTCAAGAACCAGTTCATATAGATTGTCTGATCAACTTATCTGTTTCATTCCAACAATATCCCATTTTCAATATTTGAAATCTGAATTTTTTTAAGGTTGTCATTCACCTGCAGAAACAGAAAGAGAAAGGTATAATATGATAAGATATATTAACTTAAGGACTGTTCATAATTTATCTCAAGAGGGGATGATGATGATTTTATGGGGAGGCCACCCATTTTGTTCTGGGGAGGTAGGGGGGTCGTCACTTTTGTTCACATAAACCAGGGTGGGGTCAGCAATTTTGTACATACAAATATTAAAATGTTGTGCAAAAAAAATATGGAAAGGAGGGGGATTATTGATTTTGTTCATGACGAATGACTAAATGTTTACAAGTATTTTACAGAAAGCTTAAGCATTATTTTCAAGCAACATTCACTATTTCGAGTAGTACCTGTTTGACTTTCTTTTTGATATCATGGAAGCTGTCCCCTCTAAATGCTGCCATCCCAGTCAAAAACAGCATCAGTACTTGGGGAGCAAAGAAACACTGAAAAACAGGTGAGAGTTCCACTTGCAAAAGCGGTAGTGGTCAATTATAGTTGTGTTTGTCAATAACAGCGGTACTGGTCAATTATAGTTGTGTTTGTCAATAACAGTGGTACTGGTCAATTATAGTTGTGTTTGTCAATAACAGCGGTAGTGGTCAATTATAGTTGTGTTTGTCAATAACAGCCCTACTGGTCAATTATAGTTGTATTTGTCAATAACAGCAGTACTGGTCAATTATAGTTGTGTTTGTCAATAACAGCGGTAGTGGTCAATTATAGTTGTGTTTGTCAATAACAGCAGTACTTGTCAATAATAGTTTTGTTTTGTCCATTTTGATATTTTATAGCAGCAGTTGTATTTGTCAATAATAGTCAATGATTTGTCCATTTTGATAATAGCATAGTTGTATTTGTGATATTGTTAAAGTGGTTGTTAAAGTGGTTGGCAAAATCAAATCTCTTTCTGGCTGGTTAACACTCCCCAAAAAGAGAATAGAAACAAAATTTATTTTTTTTCATACAAAAACACAGTTAAGTGTATATGAATGTATCTTACTAGTTAAGCCAAGCACAGCTGAGGAGCTAACTTGACAAGGAGGATACAGAGTGGAAAGTCGGCTTGAGTGGTTCGATATCATGAGTGTCCTCAGTGTAAAGGGAAAGTTACACTACCGTGACATGTGATTCACTTAGGCAATCCATAACATGTCTTCATGTTACATTTTATAAATTCACTCAACAACAGATTGAGTACTTTTTTTTGTAAAATTAAAAAATGCATAAAATATAAAAATAAATAAATTATGCTAGGATTATAAGGGAAAAATATAAAAACGTACACAGTCTTCGTTTTCTTTCAGTCCCTACGTTTGTTACCACTGGCAGATGAAGTTAAACCTAAAAACTGTTTCATTCGTTGTCATGATGATGGAGATAGAAATATCAATGGGTACAAAAGATGACTACATTTTCCAATTAATTCCAAGACGAAACTTTATTTCAACCTTGTTGATCAATGTAAGGACACACCCCTATAGTACTAATTGTGCTTGCGGCTGGCGCAGCAGAGATCACAACCTAGTCAAGAATTCTGGGAATATCATCTGAGTATTCTCGGGAGAAAAATAATAACAAAAGCAACAATCAGTCCAAGGGAGGTGCTCAAGATCAGTGTCCATTTTAATAGAAGAAGGGAGATAACTATCTGTGGACATTGTTACTTAGGTAACTGTTTCATTTCTAGGCTGATACCTGAGATGTTTTATAATTCACCTCACATCTCAACCAACCATACTTCATCATCACAGGTCTCACCTGATCTACAACCATCATTTTGATTGGTGCTGCCTTCTTCCCGATGAAGAGTCGATCTAGAGACATGTACCATCCTCGCAGCACTGGTCCCTGCAACCATGGGAGACATGTTTACTATACCTGGCCAACTACTGTCAAGTTCAGAAAGTAAATTTAGATAAACCTGTAGAGGTTTCCAATTCCTTGAAGAGAATCGTCCTTGGGGTACATATATGCATTTTCTACGGCTGAAAATGTCATGTGACAGTTGTATCAATGTTTTAATAAAAATATTGTACAATAAATAAATATCTTTTTATTTATTATATGGCCCCCACCTCGTGGAGTTACCTCCCGCTACGCATGCGCAGCCAACCAGGTAAGCACCCAGGCCCGTATCATCATTCCTTCTGCTGAACAAATCAGTGAACAGAATTGCGGGGAGGTGGGCGGCCCTACCCCAAGGACGATTCTCTTCAAAGAATTGGAAACCTCTACAGGTTTATCTAATTCTTTTTCATAGAGATCGTCCTTGGGGTACATATATGCATTAACACAGACTCCCAAAGACCAGAGGCTAGGGAGGAGGGAATTCTGTCAAAGTACAAATAAATAGCGATCTTGTAATTACAAAAAGTTACTCATGCCATAACAATCACCTGTCACGCTATCGAGAGAGGCATTATAGGAGGTGACCTGACAGGGAGAAATCATACTGAGGACCGACCTCAACTAGTTAAGCATGACAACACATCATAGAGAGTGTAAACAAACCCAGCCCACGGAGTGAAAACTCTATAGAGAGCACCGTACAGGGAAAACCAGAACTCACAACCGAAAATCTCAACTGAGCGATTGAAAGGTGGCAAGAATCAACAGTGGATATGTCAATTAAACAAGAACTGAACACAGTGTCAATAGAAACCAAAAACAAAGACTGCTAACAAAAAAGTGCTAGGCAGGCTCCAAATAGCGGCAGAGCAAATCTCTTTGATGGGCAGTGCTGCTGTAAAAGCTTTTGAAGTGACGACTTGCCCTGACCAAGTGAGCCTTCAACCCCTCAGGGGGAGGCTTGCCCTTAGCCTGATACGCAGCACAAATGACAGATACAAGCCAGCGAGAAAGTGTCTGTTAGCTGGCAGGAGTCCCAGCCTTCCCGCCACGGTAACAGCAGAACAGATGGGTACCCGTACGGATCCCTTGTGTTCGCTTGATATAGATCTTGAGGGTCTTACGGACATCCAACGGGTGAGTGCTCATTGCAGAGGTCCAGGATGTGGAAGGCTGGGTAACGGTAGGAAGTTCGATAGGAGCTGTCACATGGAAAGCATGATCAATCTTCGGACGGTAAGTATCCGGGAGGCGAATACAGACACGATCTCGATGGAACACAGTCAGTGCCGGGTCTGCGGACATGGCATGTAAATCACCAACCCTTCTCCCAGATGTCAAAGCCACCAGAAAAACAGCCTTCCAGGTCAACAGCTGAATGGAAATAGCTGATAGACGTGAGAAAGTAGGACCGGACAGCATATCTAGACCTGACAGAGGCCAAGCCACCCACTGAATCTGTGGATTGGGGTGTGGCGCACATTCTGAGTGAGAATGTCCGGTTGCAAAGGTAATAGAACAGGAGGCTGAGCCAGAAACCCGATAATTACCGGTAACCAGCTCTGTGACGGCCAAAGTGGTGCCAGAAGCACAAGTAGCCGAGCTGGCTGGGTGGACAGCTGGGAGAGGACCCGGGGAATGAGTGGTAGTGGTGGAAACGCCCACAGCACCTTGCCCATCGAATCCAGCAGGAAGGCTTCGGAAGCCAACGCCCTCTGGTCCGGTATTTGAGAGCAGAACACGGGTATCTGATTTGTCCCGCCGGACGCAAACAGATTCACCTGGAACAATCCGTACAACTGAGCATCCACTCGTGCAGGGCCAGGATCCGGCGAGAGAGTGCGTCTGCTCGCACGTTCTCCAGCCCCGGGAGATAAACAGTCGCACTGGTCGCAGCAGAGGAGAAACTCCCATGTCTCCCAAAGGAGTGCTAGGGACACCGTGCCGCCTTGCTTCAGGATGTACGTCATGGCCGTATGGCTGTCCAACTGTAGAGGAACCACCTGGCCCTGAACATGCTCCTGGAAGCACTCGAAAACCAACCGCACAGCTCTCAGTTCTAAGACATTGATGTAAAGGCGGGCCTCGGCTTCGGACCAGTGTCCGGACACCGACAGACTGCCGAGAATACACACACACACCCCAGCCCATGAGGGACGCATCGGTTTGAACAGTAAGAGCTGGCGTCGGGATTTCCAAAGGGACTCCCTTGGAGAGATTTCCGACATTGGTCCACCACTGAAGGTGAGGAGACAACCACCCGGGGACTGTGAGACACTTCTCCATATCCTCCGAGTGAGCCCACAGACTCGCCAACGCTTGCTGTATGGGGCGCATCCTCAACCGCGCCCGCCACACGACAAAGATAGTTGCCGCCATGTAACCTAGCAGACGGAGACAAGTCTGCGTAAAGTAACGAAGACACCGTCTCCCGTACTCTGGTGATCCGGTCGGGCGACAGAGACACAAGACAGTTGTGAGTTGTGAACCGCGCCCCGAGTAAAAACAAGTCCTGGGTGGGTACCAGGTCGGATTTCTTGAGGTTTATGATCCACCCCAGTCGAACTAGAATGTCTATCACTGAGTCAGTAGAATCTAGGCTCGCTGGCTGAGTTAGTGCACGCAGCAACCAGTTGTCTAGGTAAGGATGACAATGCCTTCTGTGCGACCGCGCGAGAGTCGCCAGCACTAACATGAGCACCTTGAACTGATAACACATCCCGTCGTAAGAGAACCGGAGGAACTGCTTAAATGTGGGATGAATAGGCACATGTAGATACACATCCTTTAGATCGATCAACATAAGCCAATCACCGGGCTGAACAGAGGAGATCACAGGCGAAGTGTCTCCATCTTGAAGGATGGAACCTCTAACATGCAATTCAACCCCTTGAGGTTGAGAATGGGACGGAACCTGCCGTCTTTCTACGGAACGAGGAAGTACGTGGAGTAAAATCCCGCCTGTTCCTCGCCTGGTGATACACGCTCTATTGCGGACTTGTCCAGCAAAGCCTGAACCTCGTCGCACAGAATACCCGCCTTGACCCGACAGAACGGCACCGGAGTGTCTCGGGCGAGCCTCGCTTCCACAGCGGCAGAAGGCCGACACTGACTGTGGATAGCACCCAAGTGTTTTGTGTTGCCTTCTCCCACTGTGGTAGGAAGAGAGACTGGGATGTGTGGTAAGAGTGCGTAAGTAGTCCCTTGCAGGTGAACTGGCTGGGACGTACTCACGGAGACAGCCTGCACGAAGTCGGGGCAGACCCCCCCTGACCACGAAAAAGGCTGCTGGGAGCCAGACGAAGAGGTCTGCTCCTTAACCTTAACCTTGGCTGGACGGCTCCTCCTCCTACTCAGCGGCCGAAGCCAGCTGGCAGACTTGGGCGTAGGCTGCGCCCCGGAAGAAGAACTCGTCACGGGAGCACAGGGGCGAGAAACCCATGGTTGTTCCAACAAGGCTTTGGAGTCTTTGAAGGAAGTAGCTGCAGAACCTCCGGAAACAACGTCGCACCAAGCCGATACGGAAGGGCCAGCAAGGTCTGCTGGGTTGCCGCCGAGTAGCATGAGGTCGACAACCACAGCTTGCGCATTCCCATGACTGCGCACATCACCGTTGACGCAGCGGACCGCAAAGAGTCCCCGGTCAGGTGGGCCTGTACCTCAGTTAGTTGACGGAGGAGGACAACATTAGGAGAAACGTCACCCGTGCCCGCCTCCGCTTCCAGGGCCGACCTCTGAATCGAGGAGAGGTACGCCCCATGGACCACAACCCGAATCTGTTGCATGGCATTCCTGTAAACCTCCTCGTAGGTACGGTATGCCTGCCTCAGAGGGGCACCCAACTGGGCAAACAGTGGAACCAACTGCCCTTGTTTGGTAGCCGGAGCTGCACCCGAGGAAGCCGAGCCTTCCCTGAGGGCGACAGAGGTAAACACGCATTCGTCCCAGCAGTTACCGCTTCACAAGTTTGGGCAAATCGAACTGGAGTATAGAGCCAGCTAGTAACGGGTCCACAACATCCTGAACCAGGGACGGCAACATGCAAAGCTGCGTCTGAGAGGGCTGGCAGACGAGTCATGGCAGCTAGTTTGGTCCGCTGCGTCAACGGTGATGTGCGCAGTCATGGGAATGTGCAAGCTGTGGTTGTCGACCTCATGCTACTCGGCGGCAACCCAGCAGACCTTGCTGGCCCTTCCGTATCGGCTTAGTGCGACGTTGTCTGCCAGCTGGCTTCGGCCGCTGAGTAGGAGGAGGAGCCGTCCAGCCAAGGTTAAGGTTAAGGAGCAGACCTCTTCGTCTGGCTCCCAGCAGCCTTTTCGTGAACAGGGGGGGTCTGCCCCGACTTCGTGCAGGCTGTCTCCGTGAGTACGTCCCAGCCAGTTCACCTGCAAGGGACTACTTACGCACTCTTACCACACATCCCAGTCTCTCTTCCTACCACAGTGGGAGAAGGCAACACAAAACACTTGGGTGCTATCCACAGTCAGTGTCGGCCTTCTGCCGCTGTGGAAGCGAGGCCCGCCCGAGGCACTCCGGTGCCGTTCTGTCGGGTCAAGGCGGGTATTCTGTGCGACGAGGTTCAGGCTTTGCTGGACAAGTCCGCAATAGAGCGTGTATCACCAGGCGAGGAACAGGCGGGATTTTACTCCACGTACTTCCTCGTTCCGTAGAAAGACGGCAGGTTCCGTCCCATTCTCAACCTCAAGGGGTTGAATTGCATGTTAGAGGTTCCTCGCGTAAAGCCTCTCGGCTCCCAAGCCCAAGCCAGAATCCAGATCTGGAATGCCGAGCCACAGACAACAAGGGGAAGGAAAAGCCTGAGACACTCTCTGTTCCGGCCACCGACCGCATGCAAGGACCCCAGTCCCGAGACGCAAGAGGCTGCCCAGGCAGAACTGGAGCCTCCGCTCTCAAGGGGATAGGGTGCGCAGGGACCGGAACACCAGGAATACTCAACAGCCCCTGCGCTAGCACCGAGAGAGGGACTGGGTGTGAACCCTCCCTCTCCACGGTGGCCGAGGCTTCCAGACCCGAAGCCAACGGCAACGGAACGACAGAAGCCTCCAGGTTATCTACCCGAGCCCGGCGATCCCACCCCAAAACTCTCCGCCCCCCGTCCAGAGCCAGCGAGGAAGGCTTCTTTGCCTTTTTAGCTTTGGAGGGGGGCAGGTTCTCGGTTGGGTCCCCTCCCAGCTCTCTCAACTCTCGGAAGAAGAAAAAGTCGGCCGCCCGTCTCTTCTGGGCACGTGGGGAAAAACCAAGACAGGGTTCATAGACATCTGGGCTATGCCCTGCCTTTTCCAAGCAACACAAGCACTTGTAATGCTTGTCGGACGACGGTATACGTTGCCCACAGGCAATACACGCCGTAAACTCCTGAAAGCAAACACGCAACGCATGTAGCTAACAGCTAAACAACAGCAACATACACGCAGAGAACATTGAAAATATGTGAATGTGACAACGCAACATGAAATAATTGTATAATAGAGCAATATTTCAACCACGTAACACACCAACTTCCCACCATGGAATAGTAACACGTATGTAAACCACGGGAAGGCTAGCGTAAATTTTAATACAAAAGTCACATAAATGAGAAATAACCAACTGCAAAGTCAAAAGAGCGTTCTAAAGAACGAATAAAAATCATACATACAGTAGTTGAAGGCATTGCTTCAGTATTGAATGTTGCTTCAGTACTGAAAGTTGCTGTACAAGGCATTGCTTCAGTATTGAATGTTGCTTCAGTACTGAAAGTTGCTGTACAAGGCATTGCTTCAGTACTGAAAGTTGCTGTACAAGGCATTGCTTCAGTATTGAATGTTGCTTCAGTACTGAAAGTTGCTGTACAAGGCATTGCTTCAGTATTGAATGTTGCTTCAGTACTGAAAGTTGCTGTACAAGGCATTGCTTCAGTATTGAATGTTGCTTCAGTACTGAAAGTTGCTGTACAAGGCATTGCTTCAGTATTGAATGTTGCTTCAGTACTGAAAGTTGCTGTACAAGGCATTGCTTCAGTATAGAATGTTGCTTCAGTACTGAAAGTTGCTGTACAAGGCATTGCTTCAGTATTGAATGTTGCTTCAGTACTGAAAGTTGCTGTACAAGGCATTGCTTCAGTATTGAATGTTGCTTCAGTACTGAAAGTTGCTGTACAAGGCATTGCTTCAGTATTGAATGTTGCTTCAGTACTGAAAGTTGCTGTACAAGGCATTGCTTCAGTATTGAATGTTGCTTCAGTTGTTGCTGTCAAGGCATTGAAAGAATGTTGCTGTACAAGGCATTGCTTCAGTATTGAATGTTGCTTCAGTACTGAAAGTTGCTGTACAAGGCATTGCTTCAGTATTGAATGTTGCTTCAGTACTGAAAGTTGCTGTACAAGGCATTGCTTCAGTATTGAATGTTGCTTCAGTACTGAAAGCTGTACAAGGCATTGCTTCAGTATTGAATGTTGCTTCAGTACTGAAAGTTGCTGTACAAGGCATTGCTTCAGTATAGAATGTTGCTTCAGTACTGAAAGTTGCTTGTACAAGGCATTGCTTCAGTATTGAATGTTGCTTCAGTACTGAAAGTTGCTGTACAAGGCATTGCTTCAGTATTGAATGTTGCTTCAGTACTGAAAGTTGCTGTACAAGGCATTGCTTCAGTATTGAATGTTGCTTCAGTACTGAAAGTTGCTGTACAAGGCATTGCTTCAGTATTGAATGTTGCTTCAGTACTGAAAGTTGCTGTACAAGGCATTGCTTCAGTATTGAATGTTGCTTCAGTACTGAAAGTTGCTGTACAAGGCATTGCTTCAGTATTGAATGTTGCTTCAGTACTGAAAGTTGCTGTACAAGGCATTGCTTCAGTATTGAATGTTGCTTCAGTACTGAAAGTTGCTGTACAAGGCATTGCTTCAGTATTGAATGTTGCTTCAGTACTGAAAGTTGCTGTACAAGGCATTGCTTCAGTATTGAATGTTGCTTCAGTACTGAAAGTTGCTGTACAAGGCATTGCTTCAGTATAGAATGTTGCTTCAGTACTGAAAGTTGCTGTACAAGGCATTGCTTCAGTATTGAATGTTGCTTCAGTACTGAAAGTTGCTGTACAAGGCATTGCTTCAGTATTGAATGTTGCTTCAGTACTGAAAGTTGCTGTACAAGGCATTGCTTCAGTATATGAATGTTGCTTCAGTACTGAAAGTTGCTGTACAAGGCATTGCTTCAGTATTGAATGTTGCTTTGTATGCTTTAAATGTCTACAGTTTCACTTACGATAACAACAGTGCCAAACACCAAGAACCGGGCACTCCTGGCGAGGTCATAGTTCCTCAGTTCTTTCTTCTCCACTGCCAGTTGGCTGATTCCATCTCCTGCCATCATCAGGCTCCCTGCAGAGACACATGGGTCACACAAAGTTGAGTTGACCAAAACACAGATCACACAAAGGTGTATTAGGGTTAATAAATTTGCCATGACAAAAGGTTTAAGAGTCCCCTTTGAACCAGCAAAATAGAACACAGACAAGTCTAAATTATTCAATAATATATTGAGCAAACAATGAACAAGCTACAATGAATGACAATACAGATATCTAGTACGATGCAGTTGAGTCACAAATATAAAATATTGGGTCACAAATATAAAATATTAACTCACCAGAGTCTTGACATTTACAGTGAGAACAGTTATACTGACTGAAGGTTGTTTACAATGACAGTAGTTACATAGACAAACACGGTCTTGGAATGTTGACAGACAGACTTGGCGACAGCAGACAGATGTGTACAAGTCCAGTGATATGTGATATGTCCGTGTTATTCAGTGTCGCACAACACAACAACCAGACTTTATATATAGCTCTTACACAGTTATCGAAAGCATTCTAGTAAAGATACGCTGCATCTTTATCCACTCAGAACACTGCGGGATTTTCTCGAACAAAGCGATGTGACAAGACTCAGAAGTCAAAGCAAAATATAGCCAGCCAAGGGAGGCAACACTGAAGTGCTATCGAAAAGATGTACTGCTAAAAATACTATTACCATTGAACATATATTATGAAGATGTGACCCACAACTCACACTCAAAACTTTAAACATTGTGACCCATAATAGCTATCACTATGGGCACAATGTGTGAAGCCCATTTCTGGTGTCCCCATTGATGTTGCTGGAATATTGCTAAAAGCAGCGTAAAACCAAATTCAGTCAGTCAGTAACTATCACTAAATCAACGATATTACAAATTACAAAAGCACACTCTCATAACACCTGCTATACCGACATGGTAACGATGTCATCTGTGGGATGACTCCACACCCTGCTATACAGACAAGGTAACGATGTCATCTGTGGGATGACTCCACACCCTGCTACACTGACAAGGTAAGGATGTCATCTGTGGGATGACTCCACACCCTGCTACACTGACAAGGTAAGGATGTCATCTGTGGGATGACTCCACACCCTGCTACACTGACAAGGTAAGGATGTCATCTGTGGGATGACTCCACACCCTGCTACACTGACAAGGTAAGGAAGGATGTCATCTGTGGGATGACTCCACACCCTGCTACACTGACAAGGTAAGGATGTCATCTGTGGGATGACTCCACACCCTGCTACACTGACAAGGTAAGGATGTCATCTGTGGGATGACTCCACACCCTGCTACACTGACAAAGTAAGGATGTAAGGATGTCATCTGTGACAAGGATGACTCCACACCCTGCTACACTGACAAGGTAAGGATGTCATCTGTGGGATGACTCCACACAAGGTAAGGATGTCATCTGTAAGGATGACTCCACACCCTGTATACTGACAAGGTAAGGATGTCATCTGTGGGATGACTCCACACCCTGCTACACTGACAAGGTAAGGATGTCATCTGACAAGGTGGATGTGGGATGACTCCACTCCCTGCTATACACTGACAAGGTAAGGATGTCATCTGTGGGATGACTCCACACCCTGCTACACTGACAAGGTAAGGATGTCATCTGTGGGATGACTCCACTCCCTGCTATACTGACAAGGATGACTCCACACCCTGCTACACTGACAAGGTAAGGATGTCATCTGTGGGATGACTCCACACCCTGCTACACTGACAAGGTAAGGATGTCATCTGTGGGATGACTCCACACCCTGCTACAGGATAACTGACAAGGTAAGGATGTCATCTGTGGGATGACTCCACACCCTGCTACACTGACAAGGTAAGGATGTCATCTGTGGGATGACTCCACACCCTGCTACACTGACAAGGTAAGGATGTCATCTGTGGGATGACTCCACACACACTGCTATGTCACTGACAAGGTAAGGATGTCATCTGTGGGATGACTCCACACACCCTGCTATACTGACAAGGTAAGGATGTCATCTGTGGGATGACTCCACACCCTGCTACACTGACAAGGTAAGGATGTCATCTGTGGGATGACTCCACTCCCTGCTACACTGACAAGGTAAGGATGTCATCTGTGGGATGACTCCACACCCTGCTACACTGACAAGGTAAGGATGTCATCTGTCATCTGTGGGATGACTCCACACCCTGCTACACTGACAAGGTAAGGATGTCATCTGTGGGATGACTCAACACCCTGCTACACGGACAAGGTAAGGATGTCATCTGTGGGATGACTCCACACCCTGCTACACTGACAAGGTAAGGATGTCATCTGTGGGATGACTCCACACCCTGCTACACTGACAAGGTAAGGATGTCATCTGTGGGATGACTCCACACCCTGCTACACTGACAAGGTAAGGATGTCATCTGTGGGATGACTCCACACCCTGCTACACTGACAAGGTAAGGATGTCATCTGTGGGATGACTCCACACCCTGCTATACTGACAAGGTAAGGATGTCATCTGTGGGATGACTCCACACCCTGCTACACTGACAAGGTAAGGATGTCATCTGTGGGATGACTCCACACCTGCTACACTGACAAGGATGTCAAGGATGTCATCTGTGGGATGACTCCACACCCTGCTACACTGACAAGGTAAGGATGTCATCTGTGGGATGACTCCACACCCTGCTACACTGACAAGGTAAGGATGTCATCTGTGGGATGACTCCACACCCTGCTATAGGATGTGACAAGGTAGGTAAGGATGTCATCTGTGGGATGACTCCACACCCTGCTACACTGACAAGGTAAGGATGTCATCTGTGGGATGACTCCACACCCTGCTACACTGACAAGGTAAGGATGTCATCTGTGGAATGACTCCACTCCCTGCTATACCGACAAGGTAAGGATGTCATCTGTGTGATGACTCCAATGCCTGCTACACTGACATGGTAAGGATGTCATCTGTGGGATGACTCCACACCCTGCTACACTGACAAGGTAAGGATGTCATCTGTGGGATGACTCCACACCCTGCTACACTGACAAGGTAAGGATGTCATCTGTGGATGATGACTCCACACCCTGCTACACTGACAAGGTAAGGATGTCATCTGTGGGATGACTCCACACCCTGCTACCCACTGACAAGGTATCTGGATGTCATCTGTGGGATGACTCCACACCCTGCTATACTGACAAGGTAAGGATGTCATCTGTGGGATGACTCCACACCCTGCTACACTGACAAGGTAAGGGATGTGGGAAGATGACTCCACACCCTGCTACACTGACAAGGGATGTCATCTGTGGGATGACTCCACACCCTGCTACACTGACAAGGTAAGGATGTCATCTGTGGGATGACTCCACACCCTGCTACACTGACAAGGTAAGGATGTCATCTGTGGGATGACTCCACACCCTGCTACACTGACAAGGTAAGGATGTCATCTGTGGGATGACTCCACACCCTGCTACACTGACAAGGTAAGGATGTCATCTGTGGGATGACTCCACACACCCTGCTACACTGACAAGGTAAAGATGTCATCTGTGGGATGACTCCACACCCTGCTACACTGACAAGGTAAGGATGTCATCTGTGGGATGACTCCACACCCTGCTACACTGACAAGGTAAGGATGTCATCTGTGGGATGACTCAACACCCTGCTACACTGACAAGGTAAGGATGTCATCTGTGGGATGACTCCACACCCTGCTACACTGACAAGGTAAGGATGTCATCTGTGGGATGACTCCACACCCTGCTACACTGACAAGGTAAGGATGTCATCTGTGGGATGACTCCACACCCTGCTACACTGACAAGGTAAGGATGTCATCTGTGGGATGACTCCACACCCTGCTACACTGACAAGGTAAGGATGTCATCTGTGGGATGACTCCACACCCTGCTACACTGACAAGGTAAGGATGTCATCTGTGTGATGACTCCACACCCTGCTACACTGACATGGTAAGGATGTCATCTGTGGGATGACTCCACACCCTGCTACACTGACAAGGTAAGGATGTCATCTGTGGGATGACTCCACACCCTGCTATACTGACAAGGTAAGGATGTCATCTGTGGGATGACTCCACACCCTGCTACACTGACAAGGTAAGGATGTCATCTGTGGGATGACTCCACACCCTGCTACACTGACAAGGTAAGGATGTCATCTGTGGGATGACTCCACACCCTGCTATGTGGGATGACAAGGGTATCTGGATGTCATCTGTGGGATGACTCCAACACCCTGCTACACTGACAAGGTAAGGATGTCATCTGTGGGATGACTCCACACCCTGCTACACTGACAAGGTAAGGATGTCATCTGTGGGATGACTCCACACCCTGCTACACTGACAAGGTAAGGATGTCATCTGTGGAATGACTCCACTCCCTGCTATACCGACAAGGTAAGGATGTCATCTGTGGGATGACTCCACACCCTGCTACACTGACAAGGTAAGGATGTCATCTGTGGGATGACTCCACATCCCTGCTATGACAAGGTAAGGATGTCATCTGTGGGATGACTCCACACCCTGCTACACTGACAAGGTAAGGATGTCATCTGTGGGATGACTCCACACCCTGCTACACTGACAAGGTAAGGATGTCATCTGTGGGATGACTCCACACCCTGCTACACTGACAAGGTAAGGATGTCATCTGTGGGATGACTCCACACCCTGCTATACTGACAAGGTAAGGATGTCATCTGTGGGATGACTCCACACCCTGCTACACTGACAAGGTAAGGATGTCATCTGTGGGATGACTCCACACCCTGCTACACTGACAAGGTAAGGATGTCATCTGTGGGATGACTCCACACCCTGCTACACTGACAAGGTAAGGATGTCATCTGTGGGATGACTCCACACCCTGCTATACTGACAAGGTAAGGGATGTCATCTGTGGGATGACTCCACACCCTGCTACACTGACAAGGTAAGGATGTCATCTGTGGGATGACTCCACACCCTGCTACACTGACAAGGTAAGGATGTCATCTGTGGGATGACTCCACACCCTGCTACACTGACAAGGTAAGGATGTCATCTGTGGGATGACTCCACACCCTGCTACACTGACAAGGTAAGGATGTCATCTGTGGGATGACTCCACACCCTGCTACACTGACAAGGTAAGGATGTCATCTGTGGGATGACTCCACACCCTGCTACACTGACAAGGTAAGGATGTCATCTGTGGGATGACTCCACACCCTGCTACACTGACAAGGTAAGGATGTCATCTGTGGGATGACTCCACACCCTGCTACACTGACAAGGTAAGGATGTCATCTGTGGGATGACTCCACACCCTGCTACACTGACAAGGTAAGGATGTCATCTGTGGGATGACTCCACACCCTGCTACACTGACAAGGTAAGGATGTCATCTGTGGGATGACTCCACACCCTGCTACACTGACAAGGTAAGGATGTCATCTGTGGGATGACTCCACACCCTGCTACACTGACAAGGTAAGGATGTCATCTGTGGGCATGACTCCACACCCCCTGCTACATCTGACAAGGTAAGGATGTCATCTGTGGGATGACTCCACACCCTGCTACTACACTGACAAGGTAAGGATCATCATCTGTGGGATGTCAACTGTGGGATGACTCCACACCCTGCTACACCGACAAGGTAAGGATGTCATCTGTGGGATGACTCCACACCCTGCTACACTGACAAGGTAAGGATGTCATCTGTGGGATGACTCCACACCCTGCTACACTGACAAGGTAAGGATGTCATCTGTGGGATGACTCCACACCCTGCTACACTGACAAGGTAAGGATGTCATCTGTGGGATGACTCCACACCCTGCTATACTGACAAGGTAAGGATGTCATCTGTGGGATGACTCCACACCCTGCTACACTGACAAGGTAAGGATGTCATCTGTGGGATGACTCCACACCCTGCTACACTGACAAGGTAAAGATGTCATCTGTGGGATGACTCCACACCCTGCTACACTGACAAGGTAAGGATGTCATCTGTGGGATGACTCCACACCCTGCTACACTGACAAGGTAAGGATGTCATCTGTGGGATGACTCCACACCCTGCTACACTGACAAGGTAAGGATGTCATCTGTGGGATGACTCCACACCCTGCTACACTGACAAGGTAAAGGATGTCATCTGTGGGATGACTCCACACCCTGCTACACTGACAAGGTAAGGATGTCATCTGTGGGATGACTCCACACCCTACTACACTGACAAGGTAAGGATGTCATCTGTGGGATGACTCCACACCCTGCTACACTGACAAGGTAAGGATGTCATCTGTGGGATGACTCCACACCCTGCTACACTGACAAGGTAAGGATGTCATCTGTGGGATGACTCCACACCCTGCTACACTGACAAGGTAAGGATGTCATCTGTGGATGACTCCACACCCTGCTACACTGACAAGGTAAGGATGTCATCTGTGGGATGACTCCACACCCTGCTACACTGACAAGGTAAGGATGTCATCTGTGGGATGACTCCACACCCTGCTACATGGACAAGGTAAGGATGTCATCTGTGGGATGACTCCACACCCTGCTACACTGACAAGGTAAGGATGTCATCTGTGGGATGACTCCACACCCTGCTACACTGACAAGGTAAGGATGTCATCTGTGGGATGACTCCACACCCTGCTACACTGACAAGGTAAGGATGTCATCTGTGGGATGACTCCACACCCTGCTACACTGACAAGGTAAGGATGTCATCTGTGGGATGACTCAACACCCTGCTACACTGACAAGGTAAGGATGTCATCTGTGGGATGACTCCACACCCTGCTACACTGACAAGGTAAGGATGTCATCTGTGGGATGACTCCACACCCTGCTACACTGACAAGGTAAGGATGTCATCTGTGGGATGACTCCACACCCTGCTACACTGACAAGGTAAGGATGTCATCTGTGGGATGACTCCACACCCTGCTACACTGACAAGGTAAGGATGTCATCTGTGGGATGACTCCACACCCTGCTACACTGACAAGGTAAGGATGTCATCTGTGGGATGACTCCACAGATGACTCCACTGACAAGGTAAGGATGTCATCTGTGGGATGACTCCACACCCTGCTACACTGACAAGGTAAGGATGTCATCTGTGGGATGACTCCACACCCTGCTACACTGACAAGGTAAGGATGTCATCTGTGGGATGACTCCACACCCTGCTGCTACACTGACAAGGTAAGGATGTCATCTGTGGGATGACTCCACACCCTGCTACACTGACAAGGTAAGGATGTCATCTGTGGGATGACTCCACACCCTGCTACACTGACAAGGTAAGGATGTCATCTGTGGGATGACTCCACACCCTGCTACACTGACAAGACAAGGTAAGGATGTCATCTGTGGGATGACTCCACAGGATGCTACACTGACAAGGTAAGGATGTCATCTGTGGGATGACTCCACACCCTGCTACACTGACAAGGTAAGGATGTCATCTGTGGGATGACTCAACACCCTGCTACACTGACAAGGTAAGGATGTCATCTGTGGGATGACTCAACACCCTAAGGATGTCATCTGTGATGTCATCTGTGGGATGACTCCACACCCTGCTACACTGACAAGGTAAGGATGTCATCTGTGGGATGACTCCACACCCTGCTACACTGACAAGGTAAGGATGTCATCTGTGGGATGACTCCACACCCTGCTACACTGACAAGGTAAGGATGTCATCTGTGGGATGACTCCACACCCTGCTACACTGACAAGGTAAGGATGTCATCTGTGGGATGACTCCACACCCTGCTACACTGACAAGGTAAGGATGTCATCTGTGGGATGACTCCACACCCTGCTACACTGACAAGGTAAGGATGTCATCTGTGGGATGACTCCACACCCTGCTACACTGACAAGGTAAGGATGTCATCTGTGGATGACTCCACACCCTGCTACACTGACAAGGTAAGGATGTCATCTGTGGGATGACTCCACACCCTGCTACACTGACAAGGTAAGGATGTCATCTGTGGGATGTCATCTGTGGGATGACTCCACTCCCTGCTACACTGACAAGGTAAGGATGTCATCTGTGGGATGACTCCACACCCTGCTACACTGACAAGGTAAGGATGTCATCTGTGGGATGACTCCACACCCTGCTACACTGACAAGGTAAGGATGTCATCTGTGGGGTGACTCCACACCCTGCTACACTGACAAGGTAAGGATGTCATCTGTGGGATGACTCCACACCCTGCTACACGGACAAGACAAGGATGTCAAGGATGTCATCTGTGGGATGACTCCACACCCTGCTACACTGACAAGGTAAGGATGTCATCTGTGGGATGACTCCACACCCTGCTACACTGACAAGGTAAGGATGTCATCTGTGGGGTGACTCCACACCCTGCTACACTGACAAGGTAAGGATGTCATCTGTGGGATGACTCCACACCCTGCTACACGGACAAGGTAAGGATGTCATCTGTGGGACAAGGTGACAAGGTAAGGATGTCATCTGTGGGATGACTCCACACCCTGCTACACTGACAAGGTAAGGATGTCATCTGTGGGATGACTCCACACCCTGCTACACTGACAAGGTAAGGATGTCATCTGTGGGATGACTCCACACCCTGCTACACTGACAAGGTAAGGATGTCATCTGTGGGATGACTCCACACCCTGCTACACTGACAAGGTAAGGATGTCATCTGTGGGATGACTCCACCCCTGCTACACTGACAAGGTAAGGATGTCATCTGTGGGATGACTCCACACCCTGCTACACTGACAAGGTAAGGATGTCATCTGTGGGATGACTCCACACCCTGCTACACTGACAAGGTAAGGATGTCATCTGTGGGATGACTCCACACCCTGCTACACTGACAAGGTAAAGATGTCATCTGTGGCATGACTCCACACCCTGCTACACTGACAAGGTAAGGATGTCATCTGTGGCATGACTCCACACCCTGCTACACGGACAAGGTAAGGATGTCATCTGTGGCATGACTCCACACCCTGCTACACTGACAAGGTAAGGATGTCATCTGTGGCATGACTGCACACCCTGCTACACTGACAAGGTAAGGATGTCATCTGTGGCATGACTCCACACCCTGCTACACTGACAAGGTAAGGATGTCATCTGTGGCATGACTCCACACCCTGCTACACTGACAAGGTAAGGATGTCATCTGTGGCATGACTCCACACCCTGCTACACTGACAAGATAAGGATGTCATCTGTTGGGTGACTGCACACCCTGCTACACTGACAAGGTAAGGATGTCATCTGTGGCAAGCCGGCATGATGGCATGACTCCACGAACTGCCGCACATTTCCTCTCTGGTTTTAAACGAATGGTGTATACTCCAGTTGTAATTGAGTAAAGCCCAGCTTGTCTGCTGGGTGTCAGCATGTGTTACCTGTTGTGGCGCACATTGTCCCCATTGGGTACTTGTTGAGTACCCGGAGATACGATCGCCATATCCCCGCCATGCTTAACTTGCAGCAGAATACCCTTCTCTCGTCATCAGCTCGCTGCCTCACAGACTTCTACCGACGGATACTCGTGGTGTCGCTTGTTGAAGTGCGCATGCGTGTAGCAGCCGACAACTTTACTGCAATGTTCCAGATAGAATCTAGCGAGCAGTCGTTATGTATGTCATCTGGAATACAGCTCGAATTGGCCGTCAACAAGCCGCAATTGTCATATGAGGCAACGTTAACCGGTCTGGGCTTATTTTCGGAACGAAATCACATTGTTTATCTTCTATAGCACGCCCCCCAGGATGGCGTTGGCAGTTGCCATGGAAAACTGTGCTTGTTTCACTCATCTTATTTCAGATTTATATAGACAGGGCCTACTATGTGTAAATTAAACAAGTATGCGCAAGTAAACAGGCTAATGTGGACATCGATTAGATTCATGAAAATTCTCTGCAATACCCACCCCTAGTAATCCATGCTTGTCGCAAGAAGCGACTAACGTGATCAGGTGGTCTGGCTCACTGACGTGTTTGACATGTGTCATTGTATCCCGAATGCGCAGATCGGTGCTCATGCAGTTGATCACTGGATTGTTTGGTCCAGACTTGATTATTTACAGACCACCGCCCTATAGCTGTAATATTGCTGAGTGCGGCGTAAAACTAAACTCACTCACTCACCTTTTTGACAAAGGCAAAATTGTAACCTTTGACGACAATACGTCTAGACAGATCAATGTCAAAATGTAAATCTATTACAATGTTGATTTTATCTACCATATTAAGAATAGAAAATCGTGTGACTTTTAATTTCATATAATTTCATATAGCCTAAACAGCCTAAACAAGTGCTCTACACAGCTTCTACACAAATCGTACAGGGCTAATTCAACTATTACTTCGTTGAATGTTGAGAGATTCTATAGCATGAGGTGTAAGCCTTTCTATTGAGCTATAATTTTTGGAGCGCTTCTTTCCCCAGGGTTTCCCCAAGATTGGTTATGTATCCACACTGCCGTGTTGACCTGAAATGGGAAAGCTGCATACATTTACAATGACAGAAAGGGACCCAAAATATATCCATTGTACATGATAACATAAAGCGTATTGTTGCGAATAGAGATACACTGTTTCATTGCCATCGTTATTATAATGTGCCTGGAGACCGTATTCGATATATATAATGCACGCAGGTTATGTAGTATTGTACGTATTGTGTACACAGTAGACTACTATAATTGCTCATTATTTCCTTTTTGTAGTCAATAATTTAGAATACCATTTTTCTTAATGTTCATAAATATATGCTGTTTTGAAACATTGAAAAACATTCAATTCTTCTCTTCAAAGGAATGTAATGTAACGGTTTGTTGATATATAATATTACAATTCAGTACATGACAATTGTTCCACCAGTGTGAAATAATGATGTATCAACCGCTTGTAGCATCTGTATGGCAGCTGCTTTGACAAGCACGAACATCTGGACTCGTTTATTGTTTATGCACCTGAACCAGCTGATTTATTGAAGCCCGTGAAACAATGCTGGGGTCATCAAGGTCAAGGGTAAGTTATGAACTTATATAATTTCAAGTTATTATCTAATAAGGGGTAATTATCAAAATGTTATCATCACCCCATACCGTTGTACACGTTAACGTCTTATAGAAGTTCAAAAAACAGGGTTCGTACAGATTATCGGTGTGCGGACAAAAACCCCTGTGGACAAAAAGCCCTAGGACAAACCCCCCACCATGTAGGGTGAATTCCAAATGAATAATGAAGATAGTTTATCAGTCAAATATTTATTCAGCCGATCTGAGCACTAATTTGCCTCTCAACACAACCTGATGTTATGTCCGACACCGATCAGAAAGTCTTCAATGGAGATCTTAGCATCTCTTCGATCGGAACATAGGTTCAACAACCTTGAAGCCCTGTAGTCTCTTGATTTGATGGTTGTCTTGTCTGGACGTACTCCTCGGGCATACTGGTGGAGGAGAGTTGACACCAAGCACTCGTCTCTTTGGAAACCCTGGACAATAGACCACACTGAAGGATTGTCATGGCCAACTAGCTTCTTGAAACCTGAATTCCAAGATTCGCAGATGTTGTTGGTTTTGCTGTCTCCCCTTAGTGTGGCCTTAAGGACGTTAGTTTATGGAGCATATACTTATACCAGTTGTAATATGACAGTGAGTTGATAGTGAGTTGAAATACTTAATAATATGTACATAAATTTATATAAATACTAAGTTGATTAATTAAGCTTTTAATACTCTTGAAGTCAGTTAATCCTAATCAATAATGAAGCGTCATCCTCAATAATGTTTACAAACTAAATACTAAGTTAATTAATGAAGCCTGTTAATCCCTATCCCTGATAATCTCTATTACTGATTTAATAAAAACATATCACTTAAGCCAATCACTCAGTAGTTAAAACATGTTTGGGGGTTTTGTCCACAGGTCTTCATTTGGGTTTTATGTCCTTGTGGGTTTTGTCCTAGGGAGCTTTTGTCCAAGGGGTTTTTGTCCACAGGGGGTTTTGTCCTACAATCAGATTATCAGCCGTCAAGTTTAAGGCCTTTTTAGGGGCTTTTCAAGGCCCAATCAATAATTTTGAGGAACTATACATCGCGGCATTGGTAGATTAATTAACACTGCCATTGCAAGGCATTTGTTTTATGTATTAGTTTTCGGTAAAATCATAACTTGACAAGTTGTGCTAAAAAAGACCTTTTTAAGGCCAAGCACAGCAAAATAGGCCTTTTCAAGGCTAATACGGTTTGAGGGCCTTATAATGGTCGAAATATCCCAATTTAAGGCCTTTTCAAACCCGTGCGAACCCTGATAAATTTTCATCGGGTTTTCCAGCTAACATTTTATAATAATAATAAACATAATAGTTAATTTATATGGCGCATATTTCATGCACAATGCATGCTCAAGGCACTCGTGTCAAGACGAGAAGGCTCTTTGGAAAAGATGGTTCTTTAGTGCTGTTCGAAAGGCTGAAAGTTCTTTTATTTCTCTCAAAATGTTGTGGGAGATGATTCCACTCCGGCACTGCAGCATAAAAAATGTTCTTTGACCAAATTGAACTGTTCTGATTTTAGGAATGCACAGGAGGTTATGTTTCTTGGAGAGGAGGGATCTTGTTGGATAAGGAGAAACTTTATGGATGAACAACTACTTTATTCAGGTGATGCGACGTTTAGATACAGATTCTTGTATCATTTGATTTGTTTGAGCGGCATTCTTGAATTTAGTGGTATAGAGATGACAGAACTATATGGATGATCAGCTTCTTTATTTTCACAATAGCGACGTTTCGGAACAGGTTCTTATGCCGTATACCGAAACGTTGCCATCTCTTGTATACGTGTCAAGCAAGTATGGGTGAGGGAAAAACAGGGTTATAAAGGTGAGATTACAGAGTGTACAGTGGTACATATATAACAAGAAATTTCTGAAATAATTACTCGACACGAATCTTCTCCAACATGTTTCACTTTTATCTTCTTCTCCATTTATTTCAGAAATGTCTTGTTATAGGACAACTACTAACTGCTACAATCTCCCTGAAGAGTAAACAATGAAACATGTTGGAGAAAAAGGCACCGTTTTTGTTGAACTATCTGATATTTATGACTGAACACCTGTACTATTCTGGACATTCATGCGTATGTATATGATTCATAAAGTTCTGTCATCTCTATACCACCAACTTCTAGATGCCACTCAAACAAATCAAACGATACACGATTCTGTATCGCATCACTAATCTGTATCGCACCACTAATCTGTATCGCACCACTAATCTGTATCGCACCACTAATCTGTATCGCATCACCTGGAACTTGTTCAATCATAACTGAAGACTGCAAATTTACATTTTGTGAAGACAAACTATTTACTAAGAAAACCAACGTGAACTGACGCAGCAAAAATGTTATATATGTTTAAAAATGTGCGGGATGTTGTGAGCATTACATTGCAGAAACTGGAATGCAACTAAAGGACCGAGTCACTGTACACAGACAACAAATTCGAGATCCTAATGTGCGATGTATAAATGTAAGCAAACACATTGATGAATGCGGGAATGGCCAGTTTACTATCTTTCCGTTTTATCAATTGTTTAACAATGATACATTATTATGGATGGAAAAAGAACAAATGTTCATAAGGTTGTTTAAACTTATGCTTAATTCAAAAGTATAAGTTTGTAACCTTCTCAATGTAACTCAGGATGTATTTGTGCACTGAAACCATAATGCATACACGTCCACCACTATTGTTTCTAACTATGACGTCAAAACACGATGAGGTCACAAACGTAACCTTACTGTCACCCATGACTACGTTTTACGTCTCCCACTATAGTCACTAACTGCAACGTCATACGCACGATGACAACTTAGCTGTTACCGTTATGCGTCGCCTATGACGACACTCAGCTTTCATTGTACAGAGAAAGAGAGGTTTAATGTATATTTAAGTCTCACTTTCTGTACATTGCCATGTAATACAAACATTTTGGCGAAGTTTAAAAGTACAGAAACCACCAGGTAGGTTATGGGAGACTAATAAAACTAATAAACAGTCATACATACATACATACATACATACATACAGACAGACATACAGACATACATACATACATACATACATACATACATACATACATACATACAGACAGACATACAGACAGACATACATACATACATACGGATACACACATACATACATACATACATACATACAGACATACATACATACATACATACATACATACATACATACATACATACATACATACATACATACATACATACATACATACATACATACATACATACATACATACATACATACATACATACATACATACAGACATACAGACATACATACATACATACATACATACATACACATACATACATACATACATACATACATACATACATACATACATACATACATACATACATACAGACATACATACATACATACATACATACATACATACATACATACATACATACATACATACATACATACATACATACATACATACATACATACATACATACATACATACATACAGACATAC